AACAACAACAACAATAATCATGATGATGATGATGATGATGATGATTTTACTTTTTTAATATCATCATTTACTTCTAAAACAGTTTCATTGTGCTTTAACATTATTGAAGACTATTTAGCATTTTGAACATTAAGAGATATGTGAAAATTTATAGATGAAGCGTGTGTCTTTAGCACAAGCACACATGTTTAAAACAATAATGGTTACTTTAAAGCTTATTTATAGCTTGATGTTATATTTGTAATATTTTTCTGTTTGATGTGACATTTAACTCATTTGCAATATTTTGTTATTATATCAGAGTAATTGAGGCCCACCCGTCTCTTGCTCATGCAGCCATGCACGTGGCGGCTGCTGTGAACGAAGCAGGAGCCAAGGCAGGACCTAGCACCCCTAGCAGGACACAGACAAGGAGTACAGGTGATAGATGGCATATTAAAAGACATTTAGGTTATATCATATTTAAAGAAATAAGGTGTGAATGTTTTGCTTCTGAAGAAGACTGTGTTATTGTGTTATTTGTGTTGCTTAAAGTTACATTTACAGTTGGCTTGGATTCCCAGGTATCTTGTACAATGTAATGCTCTTGTACAAGTAAAATAAAGTTGACTTGCCAAGTCACAAACCAAATTATTCCCTTGTTCTGACAAAACATTAATTATTTTATAACCAGGATATGCTATAGTATTTGAGTAACTGTCCTGAGTGAAATAATGAGGAAAATGTGTCCCCTGTCTCATCCTGTGTTATGTGATTGTAATAAGCCTGTTTTTGTTTTTTAGGGACCTTTTCACTAGATCAGATGTCTGATGATGAAGATCTGATGGAGCAGGTACAGGTATGTGACCAACACTAGCGTGTTTGTATCTGTGAAGTTACAGGAAAATGTCAAAGTACAGAAACAGTAAAAACTGAGTGCTAGCCTGTTGTAAATTTAAAAGGTGATAAAACATTCTATGTTTTAAAGAATAAAATGGAACTTGGTATTTCCACCCTGTCTTTGCAAAGAGTGATACATTTAAAATTTTTGATCTTGAAAATAAAGTGCCATTTGATACTTTCAACAAAAAGAAACTTTTAAAAGGTGTTTATTTGTGAGGTGTACACTGTCACCTGAGCAGTATATGCCAGATCACCTCCACACAGGTGCATATTTCACAAGTGTATTATTTTAAATACATACTGAGAGAAAATACATTGCACAGAAAAACACCCCAAAAACCAAATAAACTTAATGTTGCAATGGTCACATAACATCTCTAGCTGTATATATAACATCATCCATTGCAGCCAGCGGCAGGTGGGCCAGCAGGTGCCCCATTATTAGGTCAGTCTCCAGGAGGGATCACAGCAGCTCACCTGGCAGCAGCACTGGCAGCAGCAGCAGGAAGATCTAGGGTAAGTTGTAGGATTTTATGTCTGTTAGTTTCTGTAGTGTCAGCTGCATAGATCTCATGGAAATGGGACAAAATCGAGGCTTTTGTCCAGGCATACAACTCTGGTGCTAAAGAGAAGGCTTTAAAATTTTAGGAAAATCTATCAACCAACTCCTTACATAAAAGCCAAAGTGACAAATTAAGTCATTAAGTACATTTTCAGTGTAACAAGGTTCTGTACCCGATGTAGTTTGAGATGTACAAAGGTCTTGTCTTGATTTTCAGCCCCCTGATGGTAGTGGTCCGTCCACCAGTGGTCAGGGTCCGCCAGTGATCACCTCGGACTTCTTTGCCCAGGCCATGCAACAAGTGGCTCAGTCCCCCAATATGACTGGACCCCATGTGTCTGGACCTCAGCCACCATCACAGGTAAGGTGGGGATTTATGTGCTAGCTAGGCTTACTTAACACCTTTGTGATATTGAAATTTGGAGCAGTGATCAGTCACATGTTGAGTGCCCCTAAGGCTGACTGGTTTTGGGATCAATTGGTGCATTTTGTTGGTTTGATGACAGGCATAAGCCATAGTCTTGACTCTTTGTTTTAAGGATTAATATGCAAACACATCTATACATACAATACAGCATTATGTATCATTCATGAAAGTTTAAACATATTCACACTACATAAAATTCTGAAAGCTAGTAAAGCTTTTGAAAACAGCATTGGTCACAGCATTGTCCACTAGGTGTCACTTGGGACACTGGTGAAAACAATTGCCAGTGTCTAGAGTGACACCTAGTGGATAATGTCTTGGTCTGGTCAAGTGTATATACTGAAAACTTACCTTCTTGAATTCTTTAAGAATTGTCGTATGGTGTTAATACATTTAAACCTCCAGGAATACTATTTTTATTAGGTTAGATATATGCTAGTTGTGTTCTCTCTAACATTGCTCAGAATAAGTCCTCATGTACTTGCACTGGGTGCATCATGACAATCTGAGGTTTCTTTGTCCAGAAACGATGCAAAATGAACCAAGTTGAGACATAAGAATAGGGAATAAGAGTATAAAATCTTTCATGGGAGTAAAATTCAACACAAATTCTGATATTAGGTTGATTAGGGCAGTTTTGAATAATAGTAAGAAATAATTGATTGCACAAAGAGCATAAAAGCTCTGCAGCAGGAAATAGATTGAGAGCATAACTGAGCACTTCAGATAATATCTCTCAACACTATTGCATTTGATGTGCTACTGGCTGCAGCAGATCTGGATTGAAATTTTAATTTCATTGAAAAGCAGCGTCAACATTTGTGATGTGGTAGTGGGGGATAAATTCTGAATTAACCAATGTGTAAACACATATTATTGATCAGTTTAAGAAGATAATGGCATTTTGTTACTTCAAAATGAATATGATGAATCTATGATCTGTTTTTATTTAGTCTAACTTTTTCTGAAGTAAGACTTGAAAGTATCAAAAGGCAATACTGTGTGAGAATTCAGCATGTGTAACAGTTGAGGGTAAATAAATGCCCAATCCTTTTGATGTACAAAGAACTTGCAGACAATAAGATTGACTTTTTGAAGTCTGTTTTCTCGGTAATCTTATTTCTTCCCAGTCTGATATTTGACACCAAATACAGGATATAGCTATTGATCTTTTTAAGTTTTTTGGGAAAAAAAGAGAACTGATTTCTATAGAATTTTCCTTTGATGTGAATCATGAAAGAAAATTGGTCTAAACATTCCCCAATAAAATAAATAAAGTGCATTTTGTAACATTGGATCATGTTCCATAGACAGTGATGCCTTTGATAACTTAACTGTCTCCATACATAGTTACACTTTTTCTCAATTGTTTTGAACTGTAAGGGACCATTCCTACAGATATTTGGATAGATCTATCTCCCTGGGGAGTCTCACTAAATTGCTATCAACTTAACCAGGTTAAATGTCTGTCATGCCTAGCAAAATTGTTAGGGGGTAATTATAACCTGTTCCATGGTTTCCTGTTGAAGCATTGAAAAAAATATGTAACTATGTAGTAACTACATATCTAATGAATCTGTTTACTCTTAACTGTCATTATCTTAAAAAAATACTTTCTGTTCTGAAGGCCAAGATAATGACACCTGATGTGTTAAACCCCTGGATATGTTTGTACTTTATGTGGGTTATCCTTCACCTTGCTGCCTGAAACTTTTTTTATTTTTTTTTTTTAAGAACATTTTGGAAATATGTTTTTGTTCTTATTTGTGATAGGGAGCCTGTTTAATCTCTATTATTTTCTACTTTTTAAATTTTTATTCTTGTTTTGTTTTTTATTTATTTTATTCTATTATTATTATTTATTAATTATTATTAATTAATTAATGTATTTATTTATTTAAAATAGAACTGGGGGGAGGCAGTGAATTTTGGTTTAGATCAGTAGATTTTTAAATCTGTCTATTGCTCTTAAATTTTTTATATATTTCTAATAAGATTGAGTTTTTAGTAGTTTTAATTTTAAATGGTTCCCTTGAGTGTTTTAGATTTAACTATTGTAGTAATTTTAATGATTCTAGTTATATTATCCTTTGTAAGCGCCATATAAGGGACTTCTTATTATTAATGTCAAGCCCTGGTGGCTTGAATGGCCTGTAAGTTGAAAAGTATTGGGCGCAGTCTATAGAATGCAGGTTTAATTGTTGACATCATGCGGCCTTTTATTTCTTTCACAAAATTAGGATAATCATACCTTTATTACTTATATCATAGATAGCAATTGTCTGGTGACATCATGTCTCAATGGAATTAAAAGATAATGACACCTGTTGTGTTAAACACCTGGATATGATTACACTTTATCTGGGTTATCCTTCTACTTGCTGTCTGGAAGTTCATTTCACCTGAAGGTTAAGTTCTCTGAAACTTAATTGATTAAAAAAAAACTTTTGAAAATGTCATGTTTTTGTTCTTATTTGTAATGGGAAGCCTGTTTAATCTATTATTGGCTTTGATAATGTTAAACCCCTGGATATGATTGCACTTTATGTGGGTTATCATTTACCTTGCTGCCTGGAAGTACATTGCACCTTAAGGTCAAGTTCACTTAAGGGCCATTCAGAATGAGAAGAGCCGAGTGCTACATGTAGCTGGTCCACAGCCTAAATATGGCGGACCTACATAAAAGGAAGACTGCTTAATCCTGTAATGGTCTCTCCGCCTCTCACACGCCTCCCCATGCGTTGTCCCTCGACCGGTCGCATTGAGACGAGATTTAAATACTGCGCCCCTGCCAGGACGACGCGTGGGGAGGCGTGAAAGAGGCAGAGAGACCATTTCAGGATTAAGCGGTCTTCCTTTCATGTAGGTCCACCATATTTGGGCCATGGACCAGCTAGAACTCAGCTCTTCTCATTCTGAATGGGGCCATAGGCTTTTTTTTTTATCTAAAAGTTATTTTAAAGCCCCTTTTACATCAAGTGGTACAGGTTTTTGTATCATTTCAGTTTGAGAGAGAGTCAGCTAAACAAAGATAGCCACTTAATTATCAGGAGTTTTATAATGGGACTTCTGGGACTTCCAAACAGTTGGTAGTGAACTTGTGAAATCAAATAAATATCCCATAGAGTAATTACATGCTATGGCCAGTCTAATTACAGTGGGGCCTAGGAGAGGATCTGTTTGAATGAATCTGCCAATTAAAGATGTCCTTACTCTCTGATCAGTTTTCATTTCCCTTTATTAAAGTAATAATTGGGTGGATGCCCTGATTTTTCAGAATTACAATAATCAGTTGCATCATAATATTTTGGAAAGGAGCTGATTCACAGAAAGAACCGTTTCCTGGACAAACATGAATTTAGTCCAAATTTTAAATTCAGTGTGCAATGTTAACCACTGTCCCAACCGGTAATGCCAGAGAATTTTGGTTTAGATTTAATTTAGTAGATTCTCAGACCCTGGTGGCTCGGATGGCTTTAAGTTGAAAAGTACTGAGCACAGTCTGAAAAATGCAGGCGTACTTGTTGACATTAAGCATCTTTTTATTTCTTTTACAAAAATTAGGATAATCATACCTTGATTATCCATATCTTAGATAACAATTGTCTGATGACATCATGTCTGATTGGAATTGAAATTGCTATAATTTCTAAGAAATGATGGGATGATTAGTTGCTTTATAGTAAAAAGAAAGTTACTCTAAAATTTGTCAATTCATTTTTCCAGGAGATTTTGAATGACTCATTTTGTCCTAGTAATTCAGTCCACAACTATCCTCCATTGAACTTGTGTGTGCGTACAATCAATTTTATTATAAGCCTTGACACAGCTTTCAGGATAGTGGATTAGGTGACACTTGTGTGCCTGCTCCTGTGAAAATAGTTCATATTTCATGTAGAATATGGGTTCTTGACATAATGATCAGTAACTCATATCTTGAATATATGCTTTGAATACCAAATAATTCCACCTGAAGAGTATCCTTTATAAATACTACAAAGAAATAATAATAGAAAAAAGCAACATGTAGAAAGAAGAATATATAATTTGGAGTCGGGGTGTATTTATAATCTAATAAAGAAGTTATATAATATCATCTGTGGATCTGTACATTAATTGACCACTGGTTCTAATTGTCCCTGCAAGCTTGTTAAGGAAGGGTCACTCAGTGCAATTTTTATGTGAATCACTGCTTTCACATTTTATGGCATGTTTCTCATAAGAAGTTCATCCTTTGGGGTCATGCGGTACATTCAAGAGCTCCAGTGTTAATTATATGATTTGTTTACTATTTGGTCTTTGTCTTCTGTGAGATGTCTGGAAAATGCACCCATTGCAGGTGCACTGGCCACTGATTAGCTGAATTGGAAATATGAATAGTCTTAATAGGAGAGAACTAGGAACTGGAGGATATGTAAACAAATCCTGGGGGTTTGTGACTTTGTATCTAGAAATACAATGTTAATAACAGGAATATGGGGTAGATAGCATGAAGGTCATTTCCTCTGTCCAAAAAATATTTGCACTTAAAATTTCTTTCCTTATCATTTTTCTCTCCTTATTGTTGTTTATTCTTATAGATTTATAGATTGTCATAATTTGAAATATTTTTAATTGTTGAAGTAAATATTTCCATGAAATTGCTTTGATTAAAATTCATTGTAATGTAGAGAAACCAAGCATTAATACAATTTGTCACAGTGCACAGCACTCGGCAGAATACTAGAAATTTTGACTAGGTTATTTCAAAGGAGAAAAAATTCAATGCTGTAAGTAAAGCTAGGATGATTTGTGCAATTTTTGAATCATTTATGGATCAGAATTGGAAGTTTAAAGGTAACAGCTGTGGCCTGGCTGGAATTGAGTTCACCATCTGATGACAGGGAGACCGATTAACTGAACTGGAATGTTGCAACTTTATGTAGACACTCAATGGCCTAGCACTTTTCTACCTGTTGAATTATTGTTTAAACAAAATCTCATGCAGAATTTAGTTTTTCATGAATAGGTAAAAGGGGTTATTGATACTAATGTGGGACCAATGCCAGGTGATACTTTCAGTAAATTGTTTCTCTCATCAATATAGTATAAGGTTTTTTTTAAATGGCATTAAACATTTTTAGAAGAACAGTTCATTAAGAGCTAGCTTGTGACATATAACTTATTTCCAATGCAAATATTTAATTATAAACTAAAAAGTAGCAATTTTGACTTGCATGTTTAATAAAGTATGGGGAGATCACATCTGCAAAAATTAAATGGCATTCACATTAAAAAGTTGTTGAAGACCGTTTTTTTTTTTTTTTTTTTAGATTATTAAAAACTAGCTTGAGAGATACATTTTCTTAATTGATCATTATTTTTAAAAGTATTTTTTACTTTTTTTTTTATTAGATAAGGGTTTGCATTTGTTTATAAACTATAAGTACTATTATTTTGTTTTCACAAAAAAGCTTGATACAAGTACAAAATTACAATCCATTATTATGTCCAAACTTCACAGCTCTTTTCTGTCGAAAAGTGTAATTAGAAAAAGAGAAAATGTATTTTTATTTGGGTCTCATGTTCCTGTTTCATTCCAGGAACAGCTCCAGTCCCAGTTACAGCAGCTACGTGACATGGGGATCACGGACATCGCTATGGCAACCAGAGCTTTGGAGGCTACTGGCGGGAACATACAGGCTGCGCTGGAACTGCTCTTCAGTGATGACATCATGTGATTACTCTCATTGAAATGATGGCCAAATGGAGTGCATGTGTAGAAAGTGAACTTTCAAAGAATACTTGAGAAAAAAAGGAAAGAAAGGGCATTTTGTGGAGTAGAATCCTGAATGCCAGTTTGATGTATATGGGTTGTGCCATTTTGAACTATAATTTATATGTTTAAAGGGGAAGAAACTCTTATCAGAGTTAATTTTTTGAATTTGTCATTTCTTTTGAGCATCTTGAGTTTAACTAGGATAATTCAAGATTTTTTTCAAGTCTAACTTTCTTAGAATTTGGAAATTTTTATAAATGTATGTACGTAAAAGGTTAGTTCAGTAAGCTTTCTTTGAGCAATAAACTACTGCAAACATTTTTGAGTCATCCGTTTTTCTCTATAAATATATTGTGATTTATACTGCAAACATTTTAAATTATTTTCATTTTCTCTATTTTATTTATTTATTTTTTTTTTTTGACTTGTGCTAATGACTTGATCTATTCAATGGGGAAAATTTTTGAATCCTACAGTCCCAAAAAATATGTTTCTCTATAGCTTATATTATGTGGTGCTTTGACTGTATGCAACAGAACTATAAGGTAGCCTACGTTTCAGTTCTGCTTTTAAGAATTTATGACTTAAAAATACATATGTAGTAAAATTCACAATTTTCCCCATTGAAAAGATAAAGTCATTGCCATATATTATGATTCATAATTTTCTATAATTGCTCTCCTGTACAGGGCATTTATTCTGTACAATTGCCAATTTAGATAAGTTCAAAATATTGTACACCTCATTGGGGTATCTCATTTTTAATGATTCATATTGAAAAAAAAAACTGGAAATGCCCAGTGTTATCTTTTTAATCTCATGTTAGATATGAAATTGATTCAAGACTGTGATTAATAGTTGACCTTTATGAGTAAGAAGTTTGACCTCAGAGCATTTGGACAGAAAATCAATAAAATTGCTCTTACATAAATTTTTGTTCAGCTAGTCATTGATAAAAAAGAAAAAATAAAGACATTGAAAATACAGCTGAAAAAATCAATGTCGTTTCAAATATATTTTGCCTCTATTATATGTTTGCTATCAACAGCTGATAGAAATAAAGAGCATCAACTGAGCATGGTTTAAGTATATAATCTGACTTTGCAATTCACTGTCATGTTAGCAAGTGTATTAAAACAACTTTAATCCCTTTTTCAGAATCACGCTATTATTCAAGTTGTTTGCCTAAGACACAAATAAATACTTCACGTCAGGCATTCATGTGCAAGCAACTCATTAAATGTAGTGTTATCTTTTGCAGTATCTTCAAATGGAGGTAACCCTTATTAGGTTATCAGTTAAAGCATAAGGGACTGAATGCTACCACTTAGACATAACATGAGGTGGTGTGATGCTGTGAGTAACAGGTGCCCAGTGACATACCTGGAATACCAGTATAAGGATATTGACAGGTGCCCCATGAACTAATGGAGATAGTGAAGAGAAAATTTCCAAGATTCTGTCCGTGTGGATATTTTCACCTGGTCTATTCCACAGTTATGTGTCATTGTTGGTTAATTAGTCACCTCAGTAACTGAAAGTTGGGAAAATTTGGAATGATTACTGATTGTCCTGATGTAGGCTTGGATGAATTGTTTTATTCATCCAATGTGTAGGCTTTGAGTGGTAACTTCCTGCTGCCCAGCTGATGCAGAGGGTGAACAGTTATTTTATATGAGCAATTTTACTGAATATTTGATCAACAACCTGTCCATATACGACTCCTTTTTTAGATTTGATGAAATTTGCTCTACACATAATACAAAGATTACATATTGGATTTTTGAAGGATTTTTTCCCTTTGAATGTACAGACAAGGCGGTTTAAATATATTGTTAGCAGAAAGAGAACATTTCAAAGGTTAAATATTGATTTGTCACAAAAAAGTGTATCTAAACACAGTAAGAATGAGAATAGTGGGGATTTCTTAGTGCCTTATGAGGTGTAAAAATACCATGTTAAAGCAAACTTTTTCTCTTGTAGTAATGCAAGTGCCAAGACAAACATAATATTAAGCCTATTTAGGGGTGTTAAATTAAGAATGTGCCTACAACAGGTACTTTTTTTCCTTCATTCAAATAGTGTTGTAGTGTCGACTCAATCAATTTCCCCCATGAAAAACTCTCTTCTGGGTTAAACAACCTTTTTATCTGGCTAACCAATCTGTGATCTTTTCCTGACGCTCGCAATACCTTTAATGAAAAGTTACAATCTGAGAAAATTGAAAGTCCTTTTTTAAATTCTGCCATCATTTCTGAGCACCAACTTCCAGTTTGTGTGTGATTCAAAACTGTGCCAAGATGGTCAACAAGTGGAGAGTTTGTCAGGTGGTAAATTAGGCTATTTTATAATTTATGGCACTTTTCTGTTTAAAATGAGAAAAAAATATTACTAGTCACACAATAAGTTCAACAAGAAGGCCAAGTCGTTTGTGTACTTTTTAGTTTAAAAAAAATGTTAAAAATTTTACATGCTTTATCCCTAAATCAAGGGGTTGCTATTCAAATATAAATATAACCAAACCAAAGGACGCAATAGGTTCCAAATATATATTTCTTTACAAAAGTACAAAATTTGCATATGTATATACATTGACCATTTTCTTTCCATGAGCCACAAGTTGGCAGAAAATCTACTAAGCTCCATCAAATAAGATATGTTGATGTAAAACTGGAATGTTAGAAAAACTGCCAGATGATACCAACTGCAGGTCAGAGACAAGATATGGCCAATATGAGATCATAATGAAAACTATTTTAAATACGCTCTGCAAACAAAATGAAGCCCTTATCCAGATATGTACACAAGGAACCTTAAATCAAATTGATAAATTATGAAATCTCTGCATCTGCTTTTGAAAGCATACCGTAATTTTTTGCACTGTAAAAATTAAGGCAGGTGCCTGCACATTCAATATTTAAAATTTATGTAAAAAGTGCCTGTAAATGGCATTAAATCTGCATTTAGTGTTCAATAAACATATTTAACATCTTGCCTTCATATTAGCTTAATAAGGCTATGCTTTCCTTTACTTCTGAACCAAACATCTAAGAAATGTTGCTAAATTTTGGGAATTTTGGAATAAACTCAGCAGATACTGGTCACACTCTGACACCTATTCAATATTATGTACAAAGGTGAAAGTTGTAAAAACTGAAAATCCTGAAATCCTGAAATCGTTCACCCATGAATATGTAAGACCAGTTTCTTTCCAATTGAAATGGCTTCACTAACTACTATCATCAGTATCAGAACTGTGTATTTTAAATAATGAAAAATATCGTATAACAATGCACCTCTAGTAATACCACTGTCTCAAGCTTATAATAACCACTAATATAAACTATCAGAAGCTTTATAAATTACATTATATACAGTTTATACATAATAATAAATATAAATAATATTACACAACACTGAATTTCAAAAAGACATTTATAAAAAAAAAATTGAGATCAATGAATCCATTCCACAGCACCCCAAGCACCTTCATGTTATCCAGATAAATGTCTGGTCAAATTGCAATTTAAATTTAAAAAAAATATATAATTCATCAGGTTGATTGCTCTTTCCTTTTTTCACAGAGTACAGATATTTAGACTTAACAACTTCCAAATTATAAATAAGATAACAAACTACTACTTCAACCAAACAAACCCAGAGACTCATTAATAAGATGCAGGGATCAAACTTAAAGGACTGTGCCATTCTACTGGTCCTACTTTGAAATCTGCCAGAAAAAAAGTGGATTCAAAATCGATGTTGTGTGATGTTACTGTAAAGGTTAAAAGCTGTCTACAATCATTACTGCCTTTAAGCCCACATCAGTGAGTCAATAATGGCTTTATAAACGGAGGGTTCACCTTTTAATGTGCAAATCAGACAGTAATTTCAAAATATTTCACACATAATTATCACTGAATTAGTGACTTCACCCTCCACCTTGCTGTCAATGTGTTATCAACCCTAAAATTCCAGCCAAAGAGTCAGTATTTTTGCTGTCTCCTTTCATTTTCCCAGTAGGTCTAATCCCAATTAAATCCAACAAGTGCTCTTTTTTAAGATCACTTCTATCATCTGAACTAGTGAAATTATCACTCCAGAAAGGCTTGACAACAATTAATTACATCAACACAATTACCCATTTGATGATAATTTAGAGTGTGAGAGCATTTTTCTTCAGATGCAATCATTTCACAACTCTGAGTCCTTGCATACATTTTTTACTGCTTTCTTTCATCAATCATTGGGAAACATGGTGCAGTTGAACTGATCTTCCATTTGGACAATTCTGGCAGGATATATTAATATCAGCATCTGTTCAGGAAGGGCTGTGTTCAGGAGAGTTTCTTAATGGCCCACTTTACCCCTAGCACGCAGGCCACACCCAGACCTACCCAGACAATCACCTTGCTGAGGATTTTCACAGATCCATGGATAACTTTACCCTGGAAAGAAAAATCAGATGTAATAAACACATCTTTTTTTCTTTTTTTTTTTTTAAACAAATATTAAGACAATATTTTTATTTTCAACTTATTTAAACACATTTGAGAGTTGAAAAGATATCTATCATTTGATAATCAATATATATTAGAAATAAATACAATAAGATAAAAATAGCAATTTGGGGATTTACATTACAAATGCCCAGAATTTTTTTCCATCATTGGACCAAATTGAAAATAAAATTGTGAACTCCTGCAACACTAATTGCAAAGTGGAAATTTTTTTTTCTTTACAATCTGACTTGACAAGAGTGAAGTGTCTATAAGCAGCCCATTACTCACAAAATGAGCTGCAAAATGAAAGAAAAAAATTTTCTCACCCCTTTTACACACTATCAGAGTTAAAAGATCTTCAAATTGAAAATAAACATTACTATAAATTAATTCGATGAGATTTTTAAAAAGTAACTTGGGACTTTCACACGTTTCAGAATTTTTTTCATCAGTCAGCCAGATATTGAAAAAACAAAACATAAGTTTTCTTCTGTAACACTGAACACAAAAGTAAACAAAAGTTTGTTTGTTTTTTTTTTCACGATCTGGCTAGGCAACACTGGTATATCTCCGTTACTCACCCAACCTCCATGGTGCTCCACCCACATGCAGACTTTCTCCGTGATGTAAGTGACCGACCACTGGATCAGCTGCCTGAAGTAATCCACAGAGCACGCTCTCAGTGTCTTGATTGCCAGGTCCGAGCAGAAGAAAAACAGAACCAGAATTCTCTCTTTGGTGATCCTCTCATCAAACAACTCCTGGAGGAGTTGAAAGAAATTTTCTTGGTCAAGGCTTGAAAATCCCACCTGTGAAAATAGACATTTCATGTAAAAGTGATCAAACAGTTACAGTGCCAAAAGTTTTTTTTTTTAAGTCCTTGAAAACATACTTTCAAATTAAACAACCTACCAAACCCCTCAAGTAAAAACTTTATCAATCAATTAATTTTAATTAAAACTAGTTTCCCAATCATTTTATATTATTTTCAAAATTCAATTTATTGTAAAATATTTCCATAAATTACACATTACATTTACTAGTAAATATACTAATACGCAATCTGCAGCTATGGGGTTTAAACCAACTCTCCCTACTTCTACCCCAGCACTGAAACGCATGGCTGGTCATGACAAATTATCAGAATTTCAGGAAACTAATCTTACAACACCCAAGGTCACATTCTACCTCTGTCAGCATAAGGGCCATTGTATTTCATCTCAAACATCCTCTGTAGGTTGTTCATTTTGTGTTAGACACATAACACGTCAATGAAGTTGAATGCCTAGATTCCCAGGCCATATTCTACATGTATATGCTAGCAATCAATAATTCAAGGTCTGGCACAACAACGTTTTTATTATTTTTCAACTTTAGAGTTCTTTGGGTCTTTTGTATGATAGACACAATAATATAATAATAACCAGTTTTACCAGATTTCGTATTTAAAAAGAAATTAAAAAGCTTTTTATTTTTTGTGGTATACAATGTACATACAATTTATGAATTTTGGATGTGTTCTTGTGCTTATCTTCATAACTGTGATCATGCAGACATCTGTTTTGACGAGTATTTTTTAAATTCTAGAATCTGCTTACTTTTTACATTAACTAGAACATCAGCTACTAGTACACCAATAAAGAACACCTCTAAGAATTTTATCACAGAACATCTCTAGACTTTATTACAAAGCTAACACTGGACAAACACATCCCACAGACACTATCTTTTGGGTTAATCTTATCGGACAATGTGAGTTAATCACACAAGGGGACCATGACAAGTGTCCACATCTGATAAAAGTATAAAAATAACTGCCCACGACAGCGACATAAATCATGCATGTTTATTGCTTTATTTCAAATGCTGATCTCATCCTACGTTTGACTATTGAATTAATTATAAAATCTGTAACTGCTATGTGTTAGGTGGACCAATGTAATTACATCATGACAATTAATGTTTTCTAAAAAATTGAAAAAATGTTTTTATTAAACGAAAAAAAGTTGAAAAATTTGTACACGTACACAGGACTTCAATACATGAGTCACGATGCATTACACAAACAAGTTTACTGAATCAGTCATTCATAAAATAAAGTTGTCAACAAGAGCATTTTTCATTGTCTGGATGGTATAATTACAGTTTTACAAGATGACTTGATATTTTTGTGCCATTAAAAAAGTTTAATTTCATTTTCCATCCTTGCAGATTTATGTCTATATTCAAGACATGTAGTGCCACAAGACCATCAAGACCAGCAGCCAACGATCTCAAAGAGGGGGGGATTTTTTCTGAATAAGTGGACTTTTTTATGTCCCCATTATGACTCAACTTTAGAAATGGTACAGAACCCAAGTCAAATTTTTATTAAGAACCCCCCCTCCCCCTGGCCTGATTATATACTTAAATTTAACATTGCACTAATGGCCAACTATCAGCAGCTTTGAGTAAATATGTAGTTGCCTGGATTTTGCCCTTTCATCTGGAAATTACCCTTATTTCATGTCTCAACAAGTGAAAAAAAGGCTGAAAGGTTTTTCCAATATGTCACCAAGACCAATAAATGACAAGCTATCTAATAAAAAACACCATGATCTCTGTGTTCAATGGACAATAAATCCCTTAACCCCATGCTTTGTCCATTTTGAACAGATAATAGTCAAGATAAACATTTGTTCCCTTTCTGTATCAGATGAGGTGTTTTAATACCACGCTTATGTCAATATGTCATATTTAACAGTGACATAATACACCTGGCAGGCTTTGTTGTTGACACTACCTGAGGCAAGGTGAGTCACCTTGGGAGGGACCCTCTCTGTGAAAGGGGAACCCCCTAACGAAACACTGGGCACACAACTAATCTGATAATGAACCTTAATAATGGGGTATGCTGGTTCCAAGGTGAAACTGTCCACCACAAAAGATGAGATCATACGCCATTATAACCTGTGGGACTGAATGATGAAATACAAAAGGGGGGTCTTATCTGACAAAATTTCCCACCGCATCAACCAATTTAAAATACATGTACATTGCCAAATTAATAATAAAACTGAAGATGAAAAACAAAACAAACCAAACAGAAATGTATGAGATCAAAAAAAGTTGCAGAGAGAGAGAGAGAGAGAGAGAGCATAATTCATCCATATCTAACTTTTTATGACATAAGTTTCTAAATTATATTACATTTAAAATAGCAAAATTTTGGACAACCAATTTATGACACATAAGTTCCTGAGGTAGTGCTAACACTCGAAAATTTAGCCAAATGCTAAAAATGACTTAAATTGGGTAAACAAAAAGGGCTTGATTGGACTAATTTTAGTCAAATTAAAACCACTTGGATGACAGATTGACAAAAAAGTGGTGATTTGTCTAAGCGAAAAACAAACTGCTAGCGCTACCCCAGGATTAACCTTTCTGTCAAAACAGTCCAGAATTTCATGAAGTAAGAAATAAATCTTGCCTTAGAAGCCCTGTCTTTGATTTTCTCCCTCTCCTTGGGTCGGGTTCGTTCAAATTCATCTGCAATTAATCGGAGATCTTTTCCTGCGTGTGCCCAAGCTGGGTTGGTATAGCCTGTGGGATTCCTGGAAACAACAAGGAAGTTAGTCAACTTCTTCACATCCCTTCTCCAGGTAAATAATCTCATTACCAGTTCATATCATGGTTTACTAAACTTCTCTTGTCATGTTTTTCAGGGGCGGATCCAGAGATTATTTCTGAGTCTTCCAAATTATTTTTGTTGATCAATCCTCCATTTTTGAACTACATTTGATAATAACTTGAACTACATTTGAAAAGTATTTTAAATTTCTGATGGAAGAGACAACATGCATTTCTTCTAAAACTACTATCTATCTCTTTTTGTGTTATTATACTCCATAAATAAGGATCAAATGTTTCTGGATCCATATAAAATATTTGTCTGCAAATTATTAACTTCCATGCATCTAAAGCAAGAACATTGGAATTTAGCCAAATTGTCAATTAATATTTGTGTGTACAGAAATGCCTTGATTATTGGAAATTTTTCATTTTCCTGAACCCAAGACCAAGCTTGGTTGCTGTAAGGACAAAAGGCCTAAGATATCATATCAGTCTTCTGATGTTTACTTTCCTCTAAGGAAAGACCATGTTAATAATGAATGTTTGCAAAGCAGGGAATTACATCTTGTCTGGGCAGATAAAGTGCTTTGTAAAAATGAACATTTCACTGGGTGCTGGAAAGATGCCAATTCCAATGTTTTGCCACTTGTTGGCAGACTCCAGTGAAAAGTGATACACAAATTTTCCCCCTGCACCTGGCCTGCAGTCATCTTTTTGTGGTCTAAAATGTCTGCTCATTCCATAGAAACAGATATATTATGGAGTAAATAGGGGGTGTGCTACATTAGTAACCTTGAGCTTGGACCTAAATATAGAAGGACAAGTAACGCGGCATCTTCCTTTGAAGCTATGTGCGTTCGGGTAAACATTCGCCTATTGTCTCGCATAATCTGTTTTGATAGCTCCACGGGCGTCTGAACAGCTTATTATCAAGGTAGCGCGCGCTGTGCTTCAGTGCATTTCTATTGTTTCTCTGCATTGATAACGCAATTTCTCGCAGTCCCTCGTGGTTGCTATGATACAGCATTGCCGCCATCTTGCAGTTGCGAGCACACAGGTTTCCGTCAACACGTGGAAATTTATTGAAGGGTTTTCGGCATTTTTCCCCGTTATCTCATAAAAACGGGGTGTGAAGTTTATCTTCAATACCTGCTGTCTTTCCCTGACAGTGAGGTAGTCTCTGACAGGACAGGAATACGCACCCAACGACCGGAAATCTCCTTCCTACATGTAGCTGTGACACCCCGGAAGATCAATCAAATTTTCACAGTTAAGTTTTTCGCACGTTTTCTTAAATGGCACGTATTCATTTGACATTAACTATTGGAAATCATGCTTACGCAGCCGCTGGAGTGTATATACTGATCTTATCACGTGCAGAAGTCACTTTGACACTGACCAAACCCAGGTGTCAATTAAACCAGATTGCCTAGTGTCACAAACCAATCGTGAGTGTCATCGATCTGCTTGTTAAATTGTTAAAGGAGCAGCCGTGTCAGATGACATTTACTATTTAAGGTATGGGTAAGAGAAGGTTAAGTCACATAACTATTGCAAAATGTACGGGAAGGACGACTTTGTATTCTTTTTGGACGATGATGATGCGGAATGGGCAGCAAATTTTTGAATCAAGTTTTGTTTAGTTCACTTTATTTCACTGTAACTTATGCATCCACTTGTGTGGATGAAAATGACAATATGAATACAACTTTTGTGAATATGCTATTAATGAGGAGACATAAAAAATGAGTGTGACAAAGAGTAAAATGACAGACAGTGAACAGCAGGCCCTTCGTTATGTGGCAGGATATATATGTCAAAAATTGTCAAAAAATGTGAACTAAAGAGCTTGCAGTATGCTGCTATAATAAAAACATGGTTAAGAAAAGGCAAGCCATATNTTGTTTAAATTCTGCCATCATTTCTGAGCACCAACTTCCAGTTTGTGTGTGATTCAAAACTGTGCCAAGATGGTCAACAAGTGGAGAGTTTGTCAGGTGGTAAATTAGGCTATTTTATAATTTATGGCACTTTTCTGTTTAAAATGAGAAAAAAATATTACTAGTCACACAATAAGTTCAACAAGAAGGCCAAGTCGTTTGTGTACTTTTTAGTTAAAAAAAAATGTTAAAAATTTTACATGCTTTATCCCTAAATCAAGGGGTTGCTATTCAAATATAAATATAACCAAACCAAAGGACGCAATAGGTTCCAAATATATATTTCTTTACAAAAGTACAAAATTTGCATATGTATATACATTGACCATTTTCTTTCCATGAGCCACAAGTTGGCAGAAAATCTACTAAGCTCCATCAAATAAGATATGTTGATGTAAAACTGGAATGTTAGAAAAACTGCCAGATGATACCAACTGCAGGTCAGAGACAAGATATGGCCAATATGAGATCATAATGAAAACTATTTTAAATACGCTCTGCAAACAAAATGAAGCCCTTATCCAGATATGTACACAAGGAATCTTAAATCAAATTGATAAATTATGAAATCTCTGCATCTGCTTTTGAAAGCATACCGTAATTTTTTGCACTGTAAAAATTAAGGCAGGTGCCTGCACATTCAATATTTAAAATTTATGTAAAAAGTGCCTGTAAATGGCATTAAATCTGCATTTAGTGTTCAATAAACATATTTAACATCTTGCCTTCATATTAGCTTAATAAGGCTATGCTTTCCTTTACTTCTGAACCAAACATCTAAGAAATGTTGCTAAATTTTGGGAATTTTGGAATAAACTCAGCAGATACTGGTCACACTCTGACACCTATTCAATATTATGTACAAAGGTGAAAGTTGTAAAAACTGAAAATCCTGAAATCCTGAAAACGTTCACCCATGAATATGTAAGACCAGTTTCTTTCCAATTGAAATGGTTTCACTAACTACTATCATCAGTATCAGAACTGTGTATTTTAAATAATGAAAAATATCGTATAACAATGCACCTCTAGTAATACCACTGTCTCAAGCTTATAATACACCACTAATATAAACTATCAGAAGCTTTATAAATTACATTATATACAGTTTATACATAATAATAAATATAAATAATATTACACAACACTGAATATCAAAAAGACATTTATAAATAAAAAAAAATATTGAGATCAATGAATCCATTCCACAGCACCCCAAGCACCTTCATGTTACCCAGATAAATGTCTGGTCAAATTGCAATTTAAATTTAAAAAAAAAAAATACAATTCATCAGGTTGATTGCTCTTTCCTTTTTTCACAGAGTACAGATATTTAGACTTAACAACTTCCAAATTATAAATAAGATAACAAACTACTACTTCAACCAAACAAACCCAGAGACTCAATAAGATGCAGGGATCAAACTTAAAGGACTGTGCCATTCTACTGGTCCTACTTTGAAATCTGCCAGAAAAAAAAGTGGATTCAAAATTGATGTTGCATGATGTTACTGTAAAGGTTAAAAGCTCTCAACAATCATTACTGCCTTTAGGCCCACATCAGTGAGTCAATGGCTTTATAAACGGAGGGTTCACCTTTTAATGTGCAAATCAGACAGTAATTTCAAAATATTTCACACTTTATTATCACTGAATTAGTGACTTCACCCTCCACCTTGCTGTCAATGTGTTATCAACCCTAAAATTCCAGCCAAAGAGTCGGTATTTTTGCTGTCTCCTTTCATTTTCCCAGTAGGTATAATCCTAATTAAATCCAACAAGTGCTCTTTTTTAAGATCATTTCTATCATCTGAATTAGTGAAATTATCACTCCAGAAAGGCTTGACAACAATTAATTACAACAACACAATTACCCATTTGATGATAATTTAGAGTGGGAGAGCATTTTTCTTCAGATGCAATCCTTTCACAATTCTGAGTCCTTGCATACATTATATTACTGCTTTCTTTCATCAATCATTGGGAAACAAGGTGCAGTTGAACTGATCTTCCATGAGGACGATTCTGGCAGAAAATATTAATATCAGCATCTGTTCAGGAAGGGCTGTGTTCAGGAGAGTTTCTTAATGGCCCACTTTACCCCTAGCACGCAGGCCACACCCAGACCTACCCAGACAATCACCTTGCTGAGGATTTTCACAGATCCATGGATAACTTTACCCTGGAAAGAAAAATCAGATGTAATAAACACATCTTTTTTTCTTTTTTTTTTTTAACAAATATTAAGACAATATTTTTATTTTCAACTTATTTAAACACATTTTAGAGTTGAAAAGACATCTATAATTTGAAAATCAACATATATTAGAAATAAATACAATAAGATAAAAATAGCAATTTGGGGATTTACATTACAAATGCCCACAATTTTTTTTCCATCATTGGACCAAATTGAAAATAAAATTGTGAACTCCTGCAACACTAAATGCAAAGTGGAAAAATTTTTTTCTTCACAATCTGACTTGACAAGAGTGAAGTGTCTATAAGCAGCCCATTACTCACAAAATGAGCTGCAAAATGAAAGAAAAAAATTTTCTCACCCTTTTTACACACTATCAGAGTTAAAAGATCTTCAAATTGAAAATAAACATTACTATAAATTAATTCGATGAGATTTTTAAAAAGTAACTTGTGATTTTCACACGTGTTTCACAATTTTTTTCATCAGTCAGCCAGATTTTGAAAAACAAAACTAGGTTTTTTCCGTAACAATGAACACAAAAGTAAACAAAAGTTTTTTGTTTTTCACAATCTGGCTAAGCAACATTGGTGCGTCTCCGTTACTCACCCAACCTCCATGGTGCTCCACCCACATGCAGACTTTCTCCGTGATGTAACTGACTGACCACTGGATTAGCCGCCTGAAGTAATCCACGGAGCACGCTCTCAGCGTCTTGATTGCCAGGTCCGAGCAGAAGAAAAACAGAACCAGAATTCTCTCTTTGGTGATCCTCTCATCAAACAACTCCTGGAGGAGTTGAAAGAAATTTTCTTGGTCAAGGCTTGAAAATCCCACCTGTGAAAATAGACATTTCATGTAAATGTGATCAAACAGTTAGAGTGCTAAAAGTTTGTTTTTTTTTAAGTCCTTGAAAACATACTTTCAAATTAAACAATCTACCAAACCCCTCAAGTAAAAACTTTATCAATCAATTAATTTTAATTAAAACTAGTTTCCCAATGATTTTATATTATTTTCAAAATTCAATTTATTGTAAAATATTTCCATAAATTACACATTACATTTACTAGTAAATATACTAATACGTAATCTGCAGCTATGGGGTTTAAACCAACTCTCCCTACTTCAGCCCCAGCACTGAAACGCATGGCTGGTCATGACAAATTATCAGAATTTCAGGAAACTAATCTTACAACACCCAAGGTCACATTCTACCTCTGTCATCATAAGGGCCATTGTATTTCATCTCAAACATCCTCTGTAGGTTGTTCATTTTGTGTTAGACACATAACACGTCAATGAAGTCGAATGCCTAGATTCCCAGGCCATATTCTACATGTATATGCTAGCAATCAATAATTCAAGGTCTGGCACAACAACGTTTTTATTATTTTTCAACTTTAGAGTTCTTTGGGTCTTTTGTATGATAGACACAATAATATAATAATAACCAGTTTTACCAGATTTTGTATTTAAAAAGAAATTAAAAAGCTTTGTATTTTTGTGGTATAAAATGCAGATACAATTTATGAATTTTGGATGTGTTCTTGTGCTTATCTTCATAACTGTGATCATGCAGACATCTGTTTTGACGAGTATTTTTTTTTTAATTCTAGAATCTGCTTACTTTTTACATTAACTAGAACATCAGCTACTAGTACACCAATAAAGAACACCTCTAAGATTTTTATCACAGAACATCTCTAGACTTTATTACAAAGCTAACACTGGACAAACACATCCCACAGACATTATCTTTTGGGTTAATCTTATCGGACAATGTGAGTTAATCACACAAGGGGACCATGACAAGTGTCCACATCTGATAAAAGTATAAAAATAACTGCCCAGGACAGCGACATAAATCATGCATGTTTACTGTTTTATTTCAAATGCTGATCTCATCCTACGTTTGACTATTGAATTAATTATAAAATCTGTAACTGCTATGTGTTAGGTGGACCAATGTAATTACATCATGACAATTAATGTTTTCTAAAAAATTGAAAAAATGTTTTTATTAAACAAAAACAAGTTGAAAAATTTGTACACATACATAGGACTTCAATACATGAGTCACGATGCATTACACAACCAAGTTTACTGAATCAGTCATTCATAAAATAAAGTTGTCAACAAGCTAGAGCATTTTTCATTGTCTGGATGGTATAATTACAGTTTAACAAGATGACTCGATATTTTTGTGCCATTAAAAAGTTTAATTTCATTTTCCATCCTTGCAGATTTATGTATATATTCAAGACATGCAGTGCCACAAGATCATCAAGACCAGCAGCCAACAATCTCAAAGAGGGGGGGGGGGGATTTTTTATGAATAAGTGGACTTTTTATGTCCCCATTATGACTCAACTTTAGAAATGGTACAGAACCCAAGTCAAATTTTTATTAAGAACAGACCTTTTCAGGCCAAGAGTGGTTCCTTTAACCCCCCCCCTCCCCCTGGCCTGATTATATACTTAAATTAAACATTGCACTAATGGCCAACTATCAGCAGCTTTGAGATATGTAGCTGCCTGCATTTCACCCTTTCATCTGGAAATTACCCTTATTTCATGTCTCAACAAGTGAAAAAAAGGCTGAAAGGTTTTTCCAATATGTCACCAAGACCAATAAATGGCAAGCTATCTAATAAAAAAACACCATGATCTCTGTGTTCAATGGTAAATAAATCCCTGAACCCCATGCTTTGTCCATTTTTAACAGATAATAGTCAAGATAAACAGTTGTTCCCTTTCTGTATCAGATGAGGTGTTTTAATACCACGCTTATGTCAATATGTCATATTTAACAGTGACATAATACACCTGGCAGGCTTTGTTGTTGACACTACCTTGAGGCAAGGTGAGTCACCTTGGGAGGGACCCTCTCTGTGAAAGGGGAACCCCCTAACGAAACACTGGGCACACAACTAATCTGATAATGAACCTTAATAATGGGGTATGCTGGTTCCAAGGTGAAACTGTCCACCACAAAAGATGAGATCATACGCCATTATAACCTGTGGGACTGAATGATGAAATACAAAAGGGGGGTCTTATCTGACAAAATTTCCCGCCGCATCAAACGATTTAAAATAGATTGCCAAATTAATAACAAAATGAACATGAAAACAAAACAAATGAAACAGAAATGTACTGAGATCAAAAAAAGTTGCAGAGAGAGAGAGAGAGAGCATAATTCATCCATATCTAACTTTTTATGACATAAGTTTCTAAATTATATTACATTTAAAATAGCAAAATTTTGGACAACCAATTTATGACATAAGTTCCTGAGGTAGTGCTAACACTCGCCAATTTAGCCAAATGCTAAAACTGACTTAAATTGGCTAAACAAAAAGGGCTTGATTGGACTAATTTTAGTCAAATTAAAACCACTTGGATGACAGATTGACAAAAAAGTGGTGATTTGTCTAAGCGAAAAACAAACTGCTAGCGCTACCCCAGGATTAACCTTTCTGTCAAAACAGTCCAGAATTTCATGAAGTAAGAAATAAATCTTGCCTTAGAAGCCCTGTCTTTGATTTTCTCCCTCTCCTTGGGTCGGGTTCGTTCAAATTCATCTGCGATTAATCGGAGATCTTTTCCTGCGTGTGCCCAAGCTGGGTTGGTATAGCCTGTGGGATTCCTGGAAACAACAAGGAAGTTAGTCAACTTCTTCACATCCCTTCTCCAGGTAAATAATCTCATTACCAGTTCATATCATGGTTTACTAAACTTCTCTTGTCATGTTTTTCAGGGGCGGATCCAGAGATAATTTCTGAGTCTTCCAAATTATTTTTGTTGATCAATCCTCCATTTTTGAACTACATTTGATAATAACTTAAACTACATTTGAAAAGTATTTTAAATTTCTGATGGAAGAGACAACATGCATTTCTTCTAAAACTACTATCTATCTCTTTTTGTGTTATTATACTCCATAAATAAGGATCAAATGTTTCTGGATCAATATAAAATATTTGTCTGCAAATTACTAACTTCCATGCATCTAAAGCAAGAACATTGGAATTTAGCCAAATTGTCAATTAATATTTGTGTGTACAGAAATGCCTTGATTATTGGAAAATTTTTCATTTTCCTGAACCCAAGACCAAGCTTGGTTGCTGTAAGGACAAAAGGCCTAAGATATTATCATATCAGTCTTCTGATGTTTACCTTTCTTTAAGGAAAGACCATGTTAATAATGAACGTTTGCAAAGCAGGGAATTACATCTTGTCTGGGCAGATAAAGTGCTTTGTAAAAATGAACATTTCACTGGGTGCTGGAAAGATGCCAATTCCAATGTTTTGCCACTTGTTGGCAGACTCCAGTGAAAAGTGATACACAAATTTTCCCCCTGCACCTGGCCTGCAGTCATCTTTTTGTGGTCTAAAATGTCTGCTCATTCCATAGAAACAGATATATTATGGAGTAAATAGGGGGTGTGCTACATTAGTAACCTTGAGGATTCTACGAGTAAAACACTACCAACCAAAAGTTACTCAACTTTAAAAATGTCCCTGCCAACCACAGATGTTATCAGGAAAGGTGCTGATACTATCAACTGTCAATCAAAATGCCAAATTTTGACCCAAACTCTGACAGTCCTGGTAACGGCCACTGTGGATCCACTTCTTTGGGAGAGAGAGGGGGAGGGGGAGGGGGGCAAAATAACTAAACCCAAGTTAATAAAGGGGAAAAAATAAACAATTTAGTTCAGTCTGTTGATGACATAGCATTTTATCCAATTTGCCTGCATTTTGTCTCCTAAATCAATATGCTGGCTTCTTATTTAGTAAAATACATCATAATAAAAACCACTGAAACCTAAAAATCATTCTGCTTCAATATAAGCAAATAAACAGTAAGAAATTATGTTCCATAAAGTGTTTTAAAAATATTCCTATGTATCTTCATAAACTTTTCATTCCACCTTAAAAAAGAAAGTTTCTTAGCACGTGCATCATAGCAGTTTCCCCAACCAGGTGCAGCACAAGGAGGGTGCCACTGTCTGCAAACGCGACTAGAGTTACAGCTGTACCACTATAGTTACCACTACAGCCAACCCTGTGCTCAGACTGTGTTCTGGTTTATTGACAACCACCTTTTTAAACAAATATCACATATCCAGAATAGCCCAACTATGTCAAAAATTGTCACAAGAATAGATACAATATCTTATCTTCAGTTTCAGCTGAATGCTAAGATAAGCTTTTCAACTTATTCAGTTCTCTATTACTAAGTTAAGTAAATATATGTCTAATAAAATTAGACATGCCAACAGTGTGAAAACAACACCTGTTCAATCTCCTTGTCTGCTCAGTGAAGGAGGAGTTTAACCGCAAGTCAATCGTGTAACCAAAAAAACAGTCAACCACAAATGGGAAGTGACTAAATCATCGACAGACACTTTCAACATAACTGCAGTTGTTTACAGATAAAGTCAGTTTGAGTAGTGGCTGACAACAATCAGTAATCCAATGCCCAAGTAGAACTATCACAGCCTGGAAATGACTTGGTTTGCCAGCTGAGTGGGCTATAAATAGAATTGCCATGTGCAAGTTTTATTTTGAGACTGCTGGGTATTGAAACAACATAATTATATTAATACACCTTTTAGTTCAATTGACAATGTCTGAAACATGCATACTTGAAGCCCAAGAGAAATGCATTTAATTGCTGAAAGTGACAGAAAAGAGGATATTCATTGCCTTATATATTTATACCTTTCTTAAGACTTGGATCAAATGTTAAATGTCCTTAAGGAAAGGTACTGTTCATTCACTTTTAGCTAGGTGAAGAAAAAGATGTCTTCAAAACCTATATGAAAAGGGCACTTAATATATAACTGGGCATATTAATAGCCAAAACCTGATAATTCCTAAACTGTATATTTTGACCAAAATCTAATATTCAAGTATGGTCCCTTTTATTCAATCCTAACAGGGGCACACAATCAATAAGAATAAAACAATACAAAATACAGTGAATGATTATGTCATAATAAATTTATCCAACATCTCATGGCTTGGTGCCAAAACAATCAAACTCATAAAGGTAAAATATAAATTATATACCAACAAAACCCCTTCAGAATGTAATAATGGGTGTTTATAACAAGCAAAACTGAGGTCTTCATGGCATCCGCTCTGATCATTTTTATTTTCATCTATTTTCTCATCTTCAGTGATACAAAAAAAGTTTCCCCAGCATGTCCAGGCATGATTTCATGGTAACTGTCTCCATGCCTTCCAATATTAGAGTAAACAAAGGGGAAAACAGTACAAGTTATGATTATATATATATGAAATTACTTCTCCTGTTTAGACTAGGAAGATAAATATTAAAAGAAGAGAAATACATGCACTGCTTGCCAGCAATTATGTTGCCTCAGGAGAATGGTCGGAAATTGAGTTTTAGCGTGTTTTCTCAACTCATTCCCATTTCAACAGTGCACTTAGGGTGAAACCAGCAAGTTCCTGATCTTACTTTAGACGATAATTTCTACAGCAGAAAAATAGCAACACCTACCCCAGAACTTCAGGTGAAAAACAATCCTGCGGTTCTTCGAGGCCCTCTTTCTGAATCTCGACTTCTGACGAAGTTTTCAAAAAGTTCTTTCCCTTCTTCGACCGTGTCGTCGCCCGGAAGGTGGACCTTGGAAACACACACTGGACAAGAAAGGGCCTGGCGGTCCAACGTATTCAAACTGTCCGATCTGTGTCTTTGCGCTAAACCCATGTCTAGATTCAACTGAGTCTGCGACAGTCTTGTTCGAAATCTCGTTTGTTGTCTTTCTACTACTGCAGCCGCAGCCATCCTAAAAAGTCTTTGATGTATTGGTTTAATGATATTCGTGAATTCGTATGCTGTTCTTTCCCCTGTAGTGCCACTGTCACGTCACGTTATTTCACCTCATACGCTCGCCAGGTGTTTGCGTTAATGCCGACTGATCATGCCTTTTTGTCCCTTCTCAGACACTCACTTAATATTTATGAGTCACTTACGCGACGCGCGCCGACTCTTCACTTTCACATACTAAAACTGTTTGAGCACGCGCCAGATGACATTTAACCCGGAAGTATGAATGTAGTTTAATGTTAAATTTTAACCAATCAAAAACCGCTGTTTATTTTCTTCGGAGTTGTCAGTCTTCGCTTCACTAGCCGATTGCACGGGGCCGAACTTTTGTGTGGTGTGAAGGTTTGTAGAATGTTTGCTGAGCATCAGAGAGCAAATGTAGATTTGTGTTTCGGCTGATGCAAACATATAACTGTTTTCCTTCTAATCGACTGATGCAATTTGCTCTACAGTGCATACTTACACATTTTGGATACCAGTAACAGACGACGGCATTCTTTCACAATCACAACTCCCAATTGTTAATTTCTGATACACTAACAGCCCCAGCTCTGCAGTTTTGTTAAATTTACTGAAATAGTAATTTCATCTCGATTGCATCCATAATAGCTCTATTTTGTGTTTGTTTTGTACATATAATATGTTAAGAGAGAGCTGGTTTACAGTTATCAGTGGACATGGCGTTGGATGCTATACATATTTTATGAACAATGGAAATATTGTATGCATAAAGAACACCGAATGATATTTCCAGTGATGATCTAGCTGTCATGTATCAGGAACAAGATATTGTGTGGGTGAAGATTCCACGTTATCCGTGGTGGCCTGCTGTGGTAAATAATTAACTCATTGTTTAATTGTGTGTAAATAAATTTACCCATGGAATAAACCTTGTAGGAGGGAGTTCATGGCACCAGTAATCATAAAAAAACACAGACTTTTATTAAATAAAAACATGAATGTTGAGCCTCACTGGATTTTTTCTAAGATATTATAGATAATTCTATGAGAAGCTTGCTAATTTTATAACCAAAATCACCTTGTATAAATCGTGTGTTTTAGAGCAGTTATGATACATCCATGTAACACTTCCATCACATCCATGCTGATACTTCCTTTTATGAATATGTGATTAAAGTGAAAAGATTTTGATGACATGATTTAGGTGGTGAATGAGGATGACTGTCCACTTGAAAACACTGGGAAACAGGTGCCCATTGCCTATGTCAAGTTTTTGGGTGAAGATGATCAGTTGTAAGTCAAAAACTACCCAGCATATAATATTATGTACCTTGAAAATAATGGTAGTTTTGTACAATTAGTCACAATTTTATTGATGAGACTGTAAAAGTGTAAGTATGTTTGTGGTATATATTTTTGTAAATGTGTTACATTCTGATTTCAGTGAAATTGTGAAAAATGAGAAGAATTTGAAGGATTTTAACTGTGCAGAAAAAGAGGGCTTGATCACTAAAGGCAAAGGTAATCAAATGTTGATAGTGCATTTTCAAATATGCTTACATGTTGTATGATATTTGTGGAACTTATTTTTAATAATTTTCCCACAAAATCTGGATAGATTGAGAACATTAAGATATGCCCATTTTTTTTTTAGGTAATAGTATATATAGCATACTTAGGTAATGATTTATCCATCTGTTAAGTTCCTGTTTATATATATTATTTATTTATAGAAAGCTGAAAGGTGGTATTTTAGTGAGATAATGGTATGTAAAACATGATGACCAGAGTCACAGGTATTTACAAAAATGATGTCATACGTTTTAAAAATAGCATTAGACAAAGCAGGCGGAGACCATGGCATTGAGATGCGTCTCAAGTTTGACAAGGCTCTGAATCAAGTGGATAGACTACTAGGAAAACAGCCGAGTCATCCGGATCTGATAGTCCTGCCTGAGGTGAAAAATAATGTTGAGGAGGAGGAAGATGAAGAAGAAGAAGAAGAAGCTGCGGCTGATGGTCCAGACGGCAAAGGAAGATCTAGATCAGTAAGAGTGTCCAAACTGAACAAACAAAAGGCTGCCCAACATCAACGATCTCAGTCATTGGCTGCTGCCAAAGAAAAACTTGTTGGTAAAAAACCCAAGAAGAGAACACCAAAGAAACCAAAACCTCTAGCTGAAAGTATAGAGTTTGAATATGATAAAACTAGAGCTAACCCTAAGAAAAGTACTTTTTCTGTCCACAGTCCTGACATAAAAGGATCACCAAGCTCTGATTATACCTGTCATAATTGTGACTTTACAGTTAAAAGTCAGAACTTGATAATCCAGCATATGAAATATTGCACAACACCAAAAAATAAAGGAGCCGGTGGAGCTTCTTTTTCAGTGAAGCCTAGTCCTAGCCTGGCTAACAGAACTAAGAATAATACGCAGAAACAAACTCCACTTGCCTCCAGAGGCAGAAGAGTTGCAGGAAAGGTCTCGAATTTAGACTCGTATATTGAGAAAATTAAGGCGGCAAAGCTCCAGAAGAAAAAAGACTCTAAGATGAGTCAGGCAGGCACAACATCGGACCAAGCCACCAACGGGGATGCAGAGAGCAGTCAGGACAGCACAAATATGGCATCCACAAACATGTCTTCCGTACCAGAGTCTGTCGCCATTAAAAAAAAGTTGAAATATAACTGGAACAATGTAGCAGGCGAATCAGACACGCCTGAAAGTCAAACAGCTCTGGATAATGATGATGAACCGTCCACAGTGGACAGTCAAGAAATGGAAACAGATTCTTCTCCAGCACAAGGAAAAAAGAGGAAAACATCAGAAAGCAGTGACCTATCTATTGGTGAAAGACCAGCTAAGTCAAGCCGGGAGAGTCCTACTAGAGAATTAACCCCAGTCAAGGAGGAGAATGACGAGCAAGAGAAGAGGGACCAGGAAGTAGCCAAGGAGGTGGAGCAGGTGCTTGAGATGGACCCTAGTAAAGCCATGGATGACCTTGATAGAGCCATCAGCCTGGCGAATGCCATCTCCAGTGAGATGCAGGCTCAAGAGAGCAAGAAGAGGTAAGGGACCATTCCCACAGATACTTGGATCAGTCTTACTCCCTGGGGAGTCTCACCAAAATTGCTAACAACTTAACCAACTTGAATCTCTGTAACGCCTAGTAAAACTGTAGGGGGTCATTATCTTTACCCACTAGCTGTTTTGGTAGGCGTTACAGAAATTTGAGCCAGTTAAGTTGATAGCAATTTAATGAGATTGTGCAGGGAGATAGACGGGTCCAGATGGATCAATCTAGGCATGGGAACCCAGTCTAAGAGAAACTGGGGTAGTGCTAGCAATTTTATTCTCTGAGCCACTTATTTGTCAATTTGTTTGCCAAATGGTTTGAATTTGACTAAAACAAGTCAAATGAAGCCCATTTTGTTTAGCCAATTTAAGTCAGTTTTATTATTGGCTAAATAGGCGAGTGTTAGTGCTACCACAGGGAAACATAATGACATGATATATATATATATATATATATATATATATATATATATATATATATATATATATATATATATATGACTGCTTCTTTGGGTAAATTGAATTACTGTGGCTCTTTTTTAAATTTTTAGTCAACATAAAATGATTTTGAATATGTGTATTCCTTCCTTTATTTATAAGTTTTGAAGATTTAAAAAAGAATGTTTCTTTTCAGTTCGTTTGATCCCAATGTTGATGCCTCTGATTCTGATAATGATGAAGAATTACCTTCAGTTTTGTCTTCAAAGCTTGAAGAAAGTAAGTAATAATACAGGACATTAGATTTGGACTGCCTGAGATATTAGGAGTGGATAATACCAAGAATGATAAATTTAAATTGACTCCAGTCACTCTGGTTTGAGTGCTATGGAAATGGACCCCCACCAAAATCATGTGAAAGCAGTGTGTATTATAGGTGACCTGGGGCTCTTGAATTAGTTTGAGAACAAATCATCTGCGTCTGTTGTACTAGTGACAGAAGGGATGGGAGGTGTTCTTGGACCCCAGTAATAACTTTGTGTATTTTTTTTTTTCAGCATGCCCTTTTGAAGTTAATGATGTTGTTTGGGTGAAGGTCCGAAATTATCCATTTTGGCCATGTGTGGTAAGTTTGGACAGAATTTCGATATTTCAATATTTTCTGTACATTGACATATTAAACTGTTAGACATGACTGAATGTTCTGAATTGCAGAGTAAAGTAGACTTAATGAATACAGAGTATAATGAAATACTTAATGACAGGTGGCTGTGAAAATGAGATATACTTGACAATTTTCACTATTTTTCACTTGGTCTTTTAAAACTCTTAATTCACATTCTTTCCCCTTTATTAAGTGGTTGCTACGGTATATACAGTATTGGGGGGGGGGGGGTATTAGTGGCAAACTTACTTAAATCTCAGGAACCGTCCAGCTTGGAATTAAGTCCCATTTTATAGCCTCAAAACTGAATGAGAATTCCCTATTCATGAGTGATATTGCCAAAGAGAGCATTTTGGCGTATGTGCATTTTTATTTATGTGCTGATTAGAATATATCAGAGACAGAATGAAAAAGGTGAATGCTTTGAACTTGTCCGATAATTGGTATTGTGTTAAAATGATTTTATTTATAGATAAAGATCTAAATAATGTAATAGTTATAATGTTATAGTTCATAATCAAAGGGATTGTTTTCCTATGCATGGCTTGTGGTTGTAAAACTACACTCTCTCTGTTAATGGGGTGTTCAATCTTTGATGTGACATGGTCACTAGCGGTTAAAAAAATGACAAAGAGATAAAAGTACATGAAACATTGGTGATGTGCTAATGGATCATTAACAATGGAGTAAAAAATATCATGCATGACATTTAATATCTCCATGGGGATTGATTAATAATTTAATGTTCTAGTGGAACAGGTTATTGTAAAAAAAGGCTGTTATTTTAATATGTTTTGAATTGCATTAACCACTGAAGTGTGTCCCAGAGGGTTGATTTGGAACACTGATTTTATACACACAGGGGTAGTTCAAAAAATTTCTCCCGCAAAAATTTATTAGTGACAATGTTCAGCAGTAATAGTAATTTGTATAAGCTACAAAACCATTAGGTGTGACATTCCAGATTTATGCTGCCTTGTTTTGTCTATTTCATCTGCTATTATGGCAGTGAGTATTTTTTAGGGGGAAAAGGATATTAAAAGATTTTGGACCAAGTTCTATCACTGTGCATAAGAAGGAGTAAATTGATTCTCAGGTCCAGTCTTTAAAAACTATACCCCCTCAAATAAAAGTTCTTTAATATTGTTATTTTCTTTTGAGGTATCACCAAAACATGGTGGTCTAAGTTAATCATGATTTATATGGGACTGAGTTTTTTTATCTAGAAATTGTAGAAATAATGCAACCAAGTTAAGGGTTGGGCAGAGCAATGACATAGGAGAAGATTACTTTTTTTAGGAAAATTAGATTTTCGGTGAATATTCTGTGTAGGATAACTTTAGGTAAGTTTTTTTACACGTCCTGCACAAAATAAACTAACTTAATGGTCTGAGAATAAATTTTGTATTTATTTATTTATTTTTTAGATCAAGAGGCTATATCCTAATGATCAGAAGAAGAAAAAAAGAGTAAAAAAAGTGTCCGTATTTTTCATTGGAGACAAAAAAAGGTATTTGATTTTGTGATTTGTTGCTTATATCTTTTTAATCTGTCTTAGGTTTCATGTGATAAAAGAATGCAATTAAGTGTTTGTCTTACTTTGAAAAGTAACAACTTTTAAATGACCTTTCCTTTCAGTTTTGTAGTTTGTTACAATCCCAATAGGATCAAGCCTTTCCACGGTCCTAGGCATGAAGAGTATAAGGTATACCTTGGCATGCAAGTCACAAGCCTTAATTTAGGATCTTTGCTAGCTGAAAAATTCAGTGTTAAATCTCTCTCTCTCTCTCTCTCTCTCTCTCTCTCTCTCACATACATTTATTACAGTTATTGGAAAATATCTGCACTAATTTTAAGTGTATAATATGTCTTAGTGTATGTTTTTGCATGCAAGTTTGTTTTGAAATGAAACAAGGACACCTTCATCGTATTATTCACAGATGCAAGGACTTCAGAGTGATCAGAAAGAGGGGTTTGAGGAAGCTTTGACTGCAGCTGAGGACTTCATCAGAAAGAGAGGACTGGGCCTGATAGAGCCAGGGATTGGATACAGATATTTCTGTGACCCTGGTGAGAGGAATATTTTTTTTTTTTTTTTTTTTTTTTTTTTTTTTTTTTTTTTTGACATCAACAAAACAAAACATACATTTNAGTTTTAATATGTTTTGAATTGCATTAACCACTGAAGTGTGTCCCAGAGGGTTGGTTTGGAACACTGATTTTATACACACAGGGGTAGTTCAAAAAATTTCTCCCGCAAAAATTTATAAGTGACAATGTTCAGCAGTAATAGTAATTTGTATAAGCTACAAAACCATTAGGTGTGACATTCCAGATTTATCCTGCCTTGTTTTGTCCATTTCATCTGCTATTATGGCAGTAAGCATTTTTTAGGGGAAAAAGGATATTAAAAGAATTTGGACCAAGTTCTATCACTGTGCATAAAAAGGAGTAAATTGATTCTCAGGCCCAGTCTTTAAAAACTATACCCCCCTCAAATAAAAGTTCTTTAATATTGTCATTTTCTTTTGAAGTATCACCAAAACATGGTGGTCTAAGTTAATCATGATTTATATGGGACTGAGTTTTTTTATTTAGAAATTGTAGAAATAATGCAACCAAGTTAAGGGTTGGGCAGAACAATGACATAGGAGAAGATTACTTTTTTTAGGAAAATTAGATTGAATATTCTGTATAGGATAACTTAAAGTAAGTTTTTTTACACCTCCTGCACAAAATAAACTAACTTACTGGTCTGAGAATAAATTTTGTATTTATTTTTTAGATCAAGAGGCTATATCCTAATGATCAGAAGAAGAAAAAAAGAGTAAAAAAAGTGTCGGTATTTTTCATTGGAGACAAAAAGAGGTATTTGATTTTGTGATATGTTGCTTATTTATTTTTAAATCTGTCTTAGGCTTTATGTGAAAAAATAATGTGATTAAGTGATTGTCTTACTTTGAAAAATATCAACTTTTAAATGAACTTTCCTTTCAGTTTTGGAGTTTGTTACAATCCCAATAGGATCAAGCCTTTCCACGGTCCTAGGCATGAAGAGTATAAGGTATACCTTGGCATGCAAGTCACAAGCCTTAATTTAGGATCTTTGCTAGCTGAAAAATTCAGTGTTAAACAAATCAATCTCTCTCTCTCTCTCTCTCTCTCTCACACACACACATTTATTACAGTTATTGGAAAATATCTGCACTAATTTTAAGTGTATAATATGTCTTAGTGTATGTTTGTGCATACAAGTTTGTTTTGAAATGAAATAAGGACACCTTCATATTATTCACAGATGCAAGGACTTCAGAGTGATCAGAAAGAGAGGTTTGAGGAAGCTTTGACTGCAGCTGAGGACTTCATCAGAAAGCGAGGACTGGGCCTGATAGAGCCAGGGATTGGATACAGATATTTCTGTGACCCTGGTGAGGGGAATATAGTTTGTGCATTGGCCATTCTTTGAGCTGAAGATGGCTTTAAGATCTTTTCCAAAAGCTAGATATAATTATTTTGACCAATTTGCAAGTTTGACACCAGACTGAAGTTGTAAGCTGAGGTAGAGAAAATTTCCTAGAGTAGTCCCAGTAAGACAACCATCACATGCAATGTTAAATAATGAAATATTTGTTACCATGATGTGGCTTTTGACAAGTATTTACAGGAATTCAGACTAACTTGATTCATCCATCTTCCAAACTAGTGTCACAGTAGCATATTTGGCATTATGAATATAAAGATGTTATTTGGTCTTCTTTTGTCACCCCCTATGCACAGTGAGGCACTATTGTTCCTCAGACATATAACCCCTCTGTTACCAGTTTCTGACTTTTATGTCATTGTTCCTTATGTTTGATTAATTGATTTTCCAGATTATGACTCTCCCGTGCAAGAGGATGAACTCAGAGACAGCAGCCCAGAGAAAGATATGGTACCAGAAAGGAGTAAGTTAATCTGCCATATTACAAGTAAACTTGGCGTGTGTGTTGTGGGAAATGAAATATGTGTTATTTATGTATATATTCCTACTAAACCCACAGACTGCTAAACCTTAGATCAGTATCTCAATATATACAACTAGCAGCACAAGCAAAAAATGCCCATCACATTTCTTAATCTGTATATGCTAATACAAAAGTATCTACTATATTAATTATTTATTTATTTATTTTGTATTTCTTATACCATGTAAACAAACAGTATCATAAAAAGCAGCATAGGCGGCCAACAGTGTAAACATGTTACATTATAAACTGAATAAATTATTATTAAGCCTTCAGTGACAAATGTGGTATCATGCTGATGACTCTGAACCCTGTGCCTATTTTAACAGAATGTTAATAACTGTGGATTTGCTTGTTACATATTCATTAAAGTACCCAGCAGCTTTCATGAGTCGTTTGAATGGTTTTGTAGTTTCAAGTGAATCCTATTTAAAGTTACTGGTGTATTATCCATTCATTAACTTTGATATATAATACTTATATTTTTGAAATATTTATTATAAGTATTTTACTTTATTTTTTTAGCTGAAAGTGTTGCCAAATCAACCGATGAAGAATCTGTTGAGACAGAAGAAGAGGAAACACCTGTTAGCCAACAAGAGAAGCAGGCTATGGATTCAGAGTGAGCACTGAAATATTTGCATTTTCACTTCACTAACTGATAGCTCTTTTGCATTGGAAATAATTTTTTTATATCAATTAAGATTTGCTTAAATTAAAACTAGAAGAAAACTCATAGTTTGAAGTAGTTTTTTATGTATGTTATATCCTTGTGTTAAAAAGAGAAAAATGTAAATTTGAAAATGATTATATTCTTTGTCCACAGGTTGAAGAGAAACGAGAAAAACTTAAAACTTATAGAATTCATCAAATCTGATACCATGAAAGTGAGGATCCTTTTTATTTCCTTTGAATATGATAAAAAAGATTTAAGGCAATTAAAAGTGACTTTTTTAAACAGTGTTATAAAAACTTATAAATAATACAGCACTGGGTTATGCTGCATAATAATGAAAAATAACTCTTCAATTTACTTGCCTTCAAGAAATTGTAAAAGTAGTAGCTCACTATTTTATTTTAAATGTTCTTCCAATTACATTGAAGATTTAGCTTTTAAATTTTAATTTTATTGAAAATCATTCTTGCTAGGAATATCTGACCAAAATTTATCATGGAGAAAAGCAATGTGATAGACACGAACAGCACAAAAAATGTGACAGTCAGAGACAGAAGATGAAACGGCAAGGTACCGGACCAATAACTGACGAGGATCAGGTACAGACGTGATCTTTAATGTCATAATATGTATCATAAGGCCAAAGTGCAAAAAACTTTATCAATAGAAAAAAAATTGATAAGATTAATTAATTGGCTATGAAAGTGATCAAATTTCATTTTTTTTTTTTACTTCAAATTTTTGTACTCTTTGATGTCACAGTGATTTAGAACATTCCTATTTTTTTTTTCTTTTTTATTTTGGTGGTAAATAGAATAACACTGTTTGCAGTATTCATTCTACAATTATCATATCGAGAAATGTTGGATATTTTGTAGCTTGAAGAAATCCACCACTGTTTGAGTTCTCTATACAGATCAGTTAGTGGTTCAGACAAACTGGATGACTACTCTCTCAGTTATGTCATGGATGTTTGGCTGGTAGAGGTAAGACAAGTTGATAGACTTGAGGAAATTTCACTTTAGATTTTTGCTATTTTGCTGAGGATTTATGACAAAAATAGCTGAACACAAGGGTCCAGTTTCATCAATATTGGATAGATATAATTACTCATTGGTGAAAATAGATAGCTAATCAAGAGGATATCCATGTTTCCTCAACATAGGACACCACTATCCAGCATTGATGAAAAACAGGCCCAAAGCATTTAGAACAAAAAGTATTAAGAAGTGAGTGCAAAATATTGTTCTGTGTTTATCTACCGATTTTAATGCAGAGGTGATTTTTTTACTTCATTAATTATCAAAAAACATATGAATGAAGTTTTGTAACTGTATCACGCCTTAACTGAGTGCTATACACATTTTAAATGTATTGAATGGAATCTTTCAGGCCATCATCTATGCTCTGATCAAAGTGAAGGGTTACAACAGGGGCAGGGCGGAGGAGATGTTTAAGAAGGGAGCGTGGATCTACAAGGCAGAGAAGGTACTGGAACACAAGATGATGTTGGAAACTACACACAAGGAAGAAGATGAGGAGGAGGAAGGTAATACAGACTAGATATGGCTGTATTTACCAGACTGAGTATGGCATATAAGGATGAGGGAGCCAATACAGACTAGATATAGCTTTATTTACCAGCATGGTATATAAGAATGAGGAGGAAGGTAATACAGACTAGATATGGTTTTATTTACTAGTTTTGTATATAAGTAGGAGAAGGGAGCCAAAACAGGCTAGTAATGACTTTATAAGATCAATATGATATGTGTTACTGGAGAAATCGGAGTGAAACTTGGGTGAAACTTGATGTTTGCATAGATTTCACTTAGTAAAAGTCGGAATATGCATTGCAGTCAGTGGCAACTCCGTTTTTAAGTTCGAAAATTGCTTATGAAATGAAGCCCATAACTTTATGTGTGAAATGAAATGTGGGTTATGCTTGATTTATGTATAATTTGTTAATTATAATATAAGTAGGGGAAGGATGCATTTTGGATAGCATAGTAATTTTTTTGTTAAAAAATGACATGGTGCCTTATGATTCAGTAGTTATATAGAAGACGACAAGAAATTACTGAGGATATCTTTACAAGCAATATTGTGCCACTGTGTTTGGATATATAGAAAGGACAGCTTTATATGAGAGGTCTTTAGAAGACTAGTCATTGAATATTGGTTTTTATATAGGTGTACATATATCTTGTTGTAAAGCCACGTCTTTGTGAGGAACAGTGCATTTATACCAGTTGTTGTAATGTGATGACCTGAATTTTTTTCCCACTTTTAATCAGAGTTAATGTTTTTATTTGCAGGTGTAATGTAGAGTTAAGCATTGAAATATTGTGTAAAACACACTAATTATACAATTTATTTCATGTGTTAAATAAAACAGGAATGTATTTATTCAAGTACTAGTATAGGTCTAGTTATATAGATCATAAGTTATTGTTTTTGATGTTTATGTGAATATCAAGACATTTTGCAAGTTTTTAAATTTCCTGCTACTTGTTACCAATTTTTGATATTGCTGGGAAACAAAAACCAGTGTTAGTCCTTTGATTTGGCAACCAGTGCTGCTAGAAAAAAAATCATTTTCATTTTGTTCATAGTTTATCTGGCTTTCCTCTGTAAACTTGACTGTTTAAGTGGGGAGACTTTGTGGGGAGACTGTCTTAAAAATAACATTTAAAAAAGAAGTAAATAAATAAGAGCTGCACAAATTTTGATTTATGGGAATTTGATTGGCAGAGCAAATGGTTCTAAAACAAACTTTTTATTGCAAGTGCTTCATTCTTGAAGGAATTAAAAATTGGGAAAAATAACATAGTGCATGTAATTATTTGTATGTCTTATTATACAGGATGCTGTTTAAATATTTAGTAAGAGCACCAGATATATTTACCTTAATATAAAATAATATTTTACCTAAAAGAAATGAGCATTATTTGTAAATAACTGTTGTTATCCACTGTTTTCCCAGGTAAACTGTTAAACTATTAAATACCCATGTATAAGAGTCCAGAGCTGATGCAGTGAATTGGAAATAACTGCATAACTGCTACTGTGTTGATGTGTCTCTGTTCACTCTTCGTTCCCACTTGATAGCTTCTTGCAAAATAAACATCCAGATATTGGAAATGAAACCAAAAATGAAGTATTTATTTAGTTGTACATGTTGCTAATGTTGATGAAGTGAAGAACAAAACCATGATATAAATAAGACTGTTGCTTGGTTGTTTGTGTTTAAAATAGAAACTGACTAGCATTATATTAAGAAAATGTATGTAGGATATTAAAATTTTTCTCATCTGTTGCACATAGTATCTTTAGAAAAAAATTGTGTGTTGGAATGAATAATTGCTGCAGAGTTCATTCAGAAGAATTATTTCACTCAGTTATTGTCAGATTATTGATGACATACTAAATGCGTTGCCAATGTGTAGATATTCCCCCATCTATTTCTTGTATGTTATCCCATTTATTGTGTAAAAGTTCTGTAATAAAACATTTTTGCTTGAAAAATTTCTTTCATATACCTTAGTTGACAGACAATATTTATGCAAATATGGTAATGACTCCACTTTTTCATTTGGAAAAAATTATTAAGCTTTCAGATACATTATTTTATAATCACAAAAATTATATATCTGTGTAGCATTTGTGGTTCTTTTACTGCATAGACCAGAATTATAGAGTAGCCCGCTTTTATTATGATTATCATGTATTTTATTTATTATAATTATTTCTTTTTGCTACCACTCAATAGGAATGTTCTAATTTTAAGAAATTATGCTTTAAAAATTACAGGATCTGTAAAATTCATAATTTTCCCCACAATGAAAAAGACTGAGAAATTACCATGTTGCATGCATCATTATTTCAGCAGACTATATCAAATGAAGATATCAATTGTTGGCCAAGAGAGTTCAATATCTGTTGATAATAGGACTAGATAATCACAGCTGTACAGGTACTGACCAACTCTGCAAACTGACACTAAAAATTTTAATCAGTAAATGTTCCCAAATTCTTGGGACAAATGAATGTATGTTATCTTTAATATTGTATATACTTATATAATTAGTAAATGTTACTGTAATAACATTCCGATTCATTTAGCTTCGAGAAGTGAAACGAAGAAATGGCAGTCCTCCATTTATATTCTGTCGCACACAGTTGCATCAGGTTTGGTCTCAGTTGATTGATACATTTACTTTTCTCTTTACTAAGTTTTTTTTTTTTTTTACAAAAAGTGCCCCTCAAAAAGTCTACAAATATTATCCCTCGGGTTTTTATATGGGAGAGAAAATGGCAACAAACTGACATGTCATGGCTGCTGTTCCGGTGGCTGGACATTACTGGGTTGTGGCGGCAGCTGGTCCGTCTCCTCTGTCTGCAGAGCATGAGAGACACTATAGATTTGATTGGATCTGCAGAAATGGCAGACAACACTAAACATGGCTCGTGTTTCATGGCGAAATCTTGGTCCACTGACGATGTACAACAAAAAGTTAATAGAATGATGAAAATATTCTAGAACACTCAAAACTGAAAACACCAAGTCTTTGACATCACCTTCCTCCACGGAGTGATCGAAAATAAGAAATATTGCGATTGGCATTTTTGTGAGGCAGTAGCCAATGCTAACACTGATCAGCATGGCCGTCATCGATGTTATAGCATGGTTGCCAGACTTGGCTTTGTTGCTGTATTTGTTGTGAAATCTGGACCTCACCAGTGTAGATATGATCATTCCGTTACTTGTAGAAATAATAACCAGAGGAATCAGTGTGGAGAGACTCAAATCCAGCCAGGGAAAAATCCATTTTCGAAAACTTTCATCAATTATGTTACATGTCCTGTTATTAGGTACATTCATTATTTTGACTGTCCACAAAAAGTGGGAATAAATAGCACAAATCAGCAAAGTTAAAACTGTCACAACAATGGCGGCTTTTCGTTTGTTACAAATGAATTTGGCTGTGTATGGCAGACGGACATAAATACATCTCTCAACTGTTAAAGCTGACAAGATCCAGGATGACAAACAGATGGCGCTGTACAGGAAAAAAAGATGGAAGGCACACGCCAAATCGGACTCCAGCCTCGGGTCCGTGTTCCCGTTGTAGATGATCAGATGTCGCGTGAGTCCCATGTACAAAGCTATGGTATCTACCACAGCCAGAACTGTGAAGTAGAGAGATGCTGACAATACGGCCATTCTCTTCCTCTGTAAAATACAGATACAAAGTACATTACCAACAGTACCAATGCTCAGCAACAGTGGGGCAAATATCTTCCAGATCCATTCAATTACAGTGTGGAGCTCTGCCATTGAAATCAGAAATGATCCTGCATCCAAAACCTGTTGATGTTCTAATGTGCAGAGAACTTGATCCTTCCTACTTTTTGTTCATTGTGGAAAAGTGAAATGATAATTCAAATATATAGGAATTGAGGCATGTTTCAGTAGCTTGCTCTTTGTGGAAGTTGCTCTGTGACACTCATTATATATTATGATAAGGCTTATTATAAACCTTATCATAATATGCTTATTTCTAAACCTTATCATAATATATTGCTTTATGAGGCCTCAGCAGGCAAAATTTTTATTATTTTGTAAAAGACTTCCTTTCATATTCAGCCTGTGAAGAAACCATGCTTTCTTTTGAAGTAGCCAATGCTAACAGCTATTTATTTTTAAAAAGTTACTAAAAGATGTGAATTATTTTTTCAAGTGAAATCTGTAAATTATGTTTTGGAAATAGTGATAGCCAAGATGTGAACAAAAACACCTAGGTTATTGGCCCCAAGGTTTTTACATAGGAGAGAAAACGGCAACAAACTGACATGTCATGGCTGCTGTTCCTGTGGCTCGGCATTTCTGGGTTGTGGCGGCAGCTGGTCCGTCTCCTCTATCTGCAGAGCATGAGAGACACCATGGATTTGATTGGATCTGCAGAAATGGCAGACAACACTAAACATGGCTCGTGTTTCATGGCGGAATCTGGGTCCACTGACAATGTACAACAAAAAGTTGATAGAATGATGAAAATATTCTAGAACACTCAAAACTGAAAACACCAAGTCTTTGACATCGCCTTCCTCCATGGAGGGATCGAAAATAAAAAATATTGCAATTGGCATTTTTGTGAGGCAGTAGCCAATGCTAACACTGATCAACATGGCCGTCATGGATGTTGTAGCGTGGTTGCCAGGCTTGGCTTTGGTGCTGTATTTGCTATGAAATCTGGACCTCACCAGTGTAAATATGATCATTCCGTTACTTGTAGAAATAATAACCAGAGGAATCAGTGTGGACAGACTCAAATCCAGCCAGGGAAAAATCCATTTCCGAAACCTTTCATCGATTATGTCACATGTCCTGTTGTAAGGTTCATCAACTATTTTGACTGTCCACAAAAAGTGAGAATAAATTACACAAATCAACAAAGTTAAAACTGTCACAACAATGGCGGCTTTTCGTTTGTTACAAATTAACTTGGCTGTGTATGGCAGGACGGACATAAATACATCTCTCAACTGTTAAAGCTGACAAGATCCAGGATGACAAACAGATGGCGCTGTACAGGAAAAAAAGATGGAAGGCACACGCCAAATCGGACTCCAGCCTCGGGTCCGTGTTCCCGTTGTAGATGATCAGATGTCGCGTGAGTCCCATGTACAAAGCTATGGTATCTACCACAGCCAGAACTGTGAAGTAGAGAGATGCTGACATTACGGCCATTCTCTTCCTCTGTAAAATACAGATACAAAGTACATTACCAACGGTACCAATGATCAGCAACAGTGGGGCAAATATCTTCCAGATCCATTCAATTACAGTGTGGAGCTCTGCCATTGAAATCAGAAATGATCCTGCATCCAAAACCTGTTGATGTTCTAATGTGCAGAGAACTTGATCCTTCCTACTTTTTGTTCATTGTGGAAAAGTGAAATGATAATTCAAATATATAGGAATTGAGGCATGTTTCAGTAGCTTGCTCTTTGTGGAAGTTGCTCTGTGACACTCATTATATATTGCTTTATGAGGCCTCAACAGGTAATTTTTTTTATTATTTTATAAAAGACTTTTTCTTTCCATGTTCAGCCTCTTAAGAAACCCTGTTTTCTTTTGAAGTATAACTACTCAAACTATTTCTTTTTAAAAAGTTACTAAAAGATGTGAAGTATTTTTTCAAATTAAATCTGTAAATTAAAGTTTTGGAAATAGTGATAGCCAAGATACGAACAACAACCCCAAGGTATGAGGCTTACCTCTGTAAGGAAAAAAATTGGAGTTGAAAGTATGAAAAACTGTTTCAAAACTGGAGCACCTCTACCAAAGTTATTTCCCATTTTTCACCTGCAGAATCCCCTCCTATCAAAGCCTCTACTCTCCCTGATAACGTAAATCACACACGGAAGCCATTTTAAACCAGTGATAAGGTTTTTCCATTTAGATAAAGCTCTGACAACTCTCACAGTCAACAATGCCTAGTTGAGTGAAAATACAGAAACCTAACAACGACAAAGATTTCAACCAATTTACTTCAAAATTTAATGCACATCCCCAAAGTAAATGTTCAAGAGGTTTATTGTTTTCATCATAAGACCTCTTCTTCCAGAGTACTTAAATACACCAATAAAAGATAAGGTTAACACTTTATCTACAAATAACTATCTAGAGGCTAATTTTTTTTTCAATTTGCAATGAAATTAGTCTTTTTGATCTGCTTTATTGTTCTCAGTAATAACTGTAAGTGCTGCAACAAATGTAAATGTCCAATTGCATTTCACAAAAATGTTGAACCATTTCTGTCTCCCATGTCTGGTGCCTTTTACCTCAAGGGATTGCATATATCTTCAGACGAGATTTGAGATCTCCACAATCTGTTACAAGAAAAAGAGCATTTCCTAAAACCTATCAAAAAAGCCGGTTCTCAAGAGCTACTGGCTCCTGAAATACTTCTTCCATTTGAATGAGAGCAATAAATGCACTTAAGAAATTAATTTCTGAGGCAACTCCACAGAAATGTCAGAGGTTCTATGTAAAGTGCCTGACAACCAAATTCCCCCGGGTCACTGCAATCAATTAAGCTAGTTGTGAGAAGGTTACAGATGGCAAAATTCAATAATTGGAGAGAGGGCTTGTAAGAGCACTCTTCAGGCCATAGCAGAATTGTGATTTGATATTAAATACAAGAACGTGTGATGACATTTTATCAATTTATTATCATTTTGTGCCTCAATGTCCATCAATTATCAATTAAAAAGGTTTATTTTTGGGTTGTTACACAAGTTTTTTTAGCCACATCCTTACTTGAAAGGTGTATCTATTAATTAATTTGTTCAATTGNTGAACAACAACCCCAAGGTATGAGGCTTACCTCTGTAAGGAAAAAAATTGGAGTTGAAAGTATGAAAAACTGTTTCAAAACTGGAGCACCTCTACCAAAGTTATTTCCCATTTTTCACCTGCAGAATCCCCTCCTATCGAAGCCTCTACTCTCCCTGATAACGTAAATCACACACGGAAGCCATTTTAAACCAGTGATAAGGTTTTTCCATTTAGATAAAGCTCTGACAACTCTCACAGTCAACAATGCCTAGTTGAGTGAAAATACAGAAACCTAACAACGACAAAGATTTCAACCAATTTACTTCAAAATTTAATGCACATCCACAAAGTAAATGTTCAAGAGGTTTATTGTTTTCATCATAAGACCTCTTCTTCCAGAGTACTTAAATACACCAATAAAAGATAAGGTTAACACTTTATCTACAAATAACTATCTAGAGGCTAATTTTTTTTCAATTTGCAATGAAATTAGTCTTTTTGATCTGCTTTATTGTTCTCAGTAATAACTGTAAGTGCTGCAACAAATGTAAATGTCCAATTGCATTTCACAAAAACGTTGAACCATTTCTGTGTCTCCCATGTCTGGTGCCTTTTACCTCGAGGGATTGCATATATCTTCAGACGAGACTTGAGATCTCCACAATCTGTTACAAGAAAAAGAGCGTTTCCTAAAACCTATCAAAAAAGCCGGTTCTCAAGAGCTAGTGGCTCCTGAAATACTTCTTCCATTTGAATGAGAGCAATAAATGCACTTAAGAAATTAATTTCTGAGGCAACTCCACAGAAATGTCAGAGGTTCTGTATGAAGTGCCTGACAACCAAATTCCCCCAGGTCACTGCAATCAATTAAGCTAGTTGTGAGAAGGTTACAGATGGCAAAATTCAATAATTGGAGAGAGGGCTTGTAAGAGCACTCTTCAGGCCATAGCAGACATTGTGGTTTGATATTAAATACAAGAACACATGTTGAAATTTTATCAATTTATAATCATTTTGTGCCTCAATGTTCATCAATTATCAATTAAAAAGGTTTATTTTTGGGTTGTTACACAAGTTTTTTTTAGCCACATCCTTACTTGAAGGGTGAATCTATTAATTTGTTAAATTGTTAAATATTCAAGTCAGCAGTGAGGCCATCTTTACCCAATGACATTTCATGGTTATCCTTTTTAGAGGGTGGGGAATACCTTTTGTGTTCCGCGTGATTGGCCTTATTTTTCAAGCTTGATGTGTTATTTGAGCCCAATATTCTGCGTGAAACATGATTCAGGAATTCTTGGTGATTGGTGATTGGCCTGAATATAGTTTAATTGGATGCTTGGTGATTGAGCTGTTTTTATCTTGGTGATTGGTGACTAAGAGGGGGGTATTCCCTACCCTCTTTATACAGCTGACCATCCTCATATCCTAAAGTCAATGTGCTATAAAACTCTCCCTCCTAGTCTGGGTGCGGTTTTACACCACAATTCCACTTGTAAGAAACTTTATACATGAACCAGGTAATGTTAGTTTGGAGCAGTTTTGAACTTTGACTGTGGGAGTTTTTTTGTAATGATCCTATTTGGAAGTACATAGGAATATGATTCAAGTCACGTTGGTTTGGGGTTATTGTTAAAAACTCCCTAAATATGTATGAGTCATGTACCCTAGTTGGGCTTGAGGTCAGTGTGTAAACCATTATCTCAATCCTCCTGTCCATGCTGTTCACTTTATACATATGTGTATAAAATAAAGTGTGTCATATAATCTAAACAGTAAGGACACCACAACAGATTATGTGGAGATAATTAACTTTGATAAAATTCTACAACAGTAATTTTGCTGTCCACGTTGTAAAATAACTGGTTTGCTGAACTTTAAAAGAAAATTTTCTTAGCTTAAGACTCACATTATAAAATGCTTTGTTACAAATGTTACAAGGATTATAGAGACATGGGGTGGAAGCTACTCATAAAACATTAAAAAAAATTAAGGACACAATACCATCAACCTCAAATACACCGATTCAGTGTTGACATATGATTTACACTAAATACACCTGCAAACATTCACATTTCCTCATAATTTACTTCGATAAATATTCTAATAAATAGTTTAAACTACAGACTGAGAAATCTGATTAATTTTTTCTTCACTTACTTTGAGGGCAATTTTTATCACAGTCTCTTTCCTATAAAATATTACATTCCAAATAGGCCAATTACCTTTTTAATTCCTCTGGTCAAGATTCTATAAATGTATGCCAAGGGTTTTATATCAATGAACACCAGGTCTAATCTAACACCAAATTATTTAATCAGAATAATACAAATACAGAAGTTTGGAGAGAGTTCAGCAATTGTGGTAGCTAAGATAAATGCATCTTGACGCATAGCTCACCAGGCACATTCACAACTGTCCCATTTGGATGATTTCTCCAGAAGACAAGGTTCAAGAAATCTTTATAAGAACCTCTCCTGAAGGGTTTGTTTCTTCATTTCAAGTAAAAAGGTAAATTTAAGCAAAAGACCCCTTGCAACAATTATTTGTTAGAAACGACTTCTTGAACCTGGTACCAGTTTTGATGAGACTTAAAACTCAGAGATAAAGTAGGAAAATGCAAGTTCCAAAGGCACAAAGCTCTTTGTTGGGGGTCCAGAGGGCATCAATAATGCGTCCAAATTTCCTGGAAATCTTCATCTCTAAATTCAAAGTTTTGAGCATTCTGTTGAGCACTCAAAACCAGGAAATTAAAAAATAAGACTGACAACTAAAGTTAAAGTTTATTTTTCCTTATAAATAATGATACAAGATTATAGAGGCTCAGAAACATTTCAATGCACTGCTGCTCTCAAATTAAGCCCATTCCCTTGGAAAAAGCACATACATAAATAAACAGTTGTCATAAACCAGCACCTTGTGCTTAACATGAAAGAGTCGAAGACTGGAATGTGTAGAATCCAAGACACCCAAAGAAAAGAAAATCAATTTTCCCATAACATGACATTCCTAATAACTTTCTTTAACATAACACTATGAGACAGCCATAGTCATGTACTATGGTCATCCAATCATCCCAAAGACCACAAAAGAACATGTTATGGGCAAGTTTAAGTTTTTGCAAATGAGAGACATTATTCACCATAAATTATTGCCAGACATATTCTTAATCTTAGACTGCATTCCCACAGATTTTTGGATCGATCTATCCCCGTGGGGAGTCTCACTAGATTGCTGTCGGCTTAGCCGGCTTAAATGTCTGTCCCGCCTACTAAAAGTTGTAAGGGGGTAATTAACTTTCGTGCGCACTCGGCTGACAGCAATTTAGCATGAACCCCCAGGGAGTTAGGTCGATCCAGATGGATCAATCTGTGGGAATGCAGTCTTAAATATCTTGGAAGCCCCATAAAACAAAATTTGCTGGTGCTCATTGCAGAGACTTCAGTCAGCATCAAGATTTACTCAAGTCACCACATTTGCCAACATTAAGACTGAGAAACTCGAAAATTAACATCATGAGTTCCTTCTTTCTGGTATTTAAGGGTCATTTCCACTGAAACTATCAACATAGATAGATCGATCCAACTCCCCAGGGAATCTAGCTGAATGCAATCAGATAAACAAGCCTCTTTTTGGCATCGAGTAGAATACTGAAAAGCTGGTGTTTATACAAGCTCATTGGATCAATCTAGGTAGAATGTTACTTTAACTGGGTACGAGCCCCAAGTCAAATATGATCATATGATATATTTCTAATGAACAGGGTTTTTCACTCAGAAAAGCTTTCATTGGGATTACTGCAGAATTATACAGTTTACTGTCCAATTTGTTCATGAAAAAAAATGACAAAACAAAACACCAGGTCTCAAATTGCACGATGCTGGTTTTGAGTTTCACAATACCATATGAAAGGCAACCTGTTCCACTTAATTTGCAAATTAATACATTTTTAGTAACAAACAGTATAAAAGCATGACTGAAGTCAAAATTAACTATGCAAATACAAAAACTTTATAAGATTGTCAACAAGAAAGCTGAAAGACAATGTAAGCCAAAAACTTTGTTCTCAAAATTATTTTGCAGAAGACTTGCCCATTTTCTATAACTACAGAGCACAAATGATATTTCAATCAAAATGGCAATGGTAAAAAAGACAGCATAATAACATGATTTGGGAATCTTTTTCCAACAACAATAACCACAAAAAAATAAAGTGGATCTCTACAACAAAACCCCCAAAAACAAGGACATTCACGTAAACTTTGGTGTGTGCATGCATGCACGTCCTTTCTTGTAATCAGATGCTCATTATATTAAACTAAATGATATCAAAAAAGAAATATAAGATCTTACAGGTAGATAGTAGGAAAACATGAGTAAGTTGTGTTGAAAGGAAAAGATTTCCATCAGGAGCATAAAAGAAATCAAGTTTATGTCAACACAAGACCATGGCAAGGTATACAATAGTACCCAGCTAGGTGACAATGTCAGCACAGGATAGAAGGCAATAAACTAATCAAATATGGCGTGACCCACTGGAAAGCATGTACCGAGATTAAAGTGCTCTGCTCCTTCTGGGATGGTGCGCGTTTGAGGAAGAAAATTACATCCTTGTTAGGGGATTATGCAGCTTGCTTTCAAGTGCACATCATATTTGACTACTCAATCTGCAGATCAACTGGTTCTGAAATGCTCACTAAGAGAAGCAAGTATATTTCTGTGCACAATAATCATTTCATTGTATTCACGTGTGTGTGTGTTTGGAGGAACATGTTCCTGCGTGCACATTTTCAAGTAGAATTCTCTGCCAGATCAATCAATATGATTTAATACCAAGCAGTGAGAGGGCACTGTTTAATGTGATAGCAGTTCACAGACCCAGCTGTTGGGTAGCCTTAATGATGACGGAAAATTACATTTGCATATAGCACAAATAACCCACAATTATCTAGGCACACAGACCAGGCAGAGCAGTAGGACAATCCTTCAACCCAAAATACTGAATTTGATATATTTTATATGATTTTTTTATATAAATGCATTCTGAACATAAAGGTAATAAAACAATTGCTAACTACTGACTGTCATTCAGATTAATTTATAATCCAACTTTGTCTTAATATATATATATATATATATATATATATATATATATATATATATATATATATATATATATATATATATAACTTAAATTTAAAAAAAAAATCATAAAAGAAAGTATATATTTACAGTCTGAAGAGAGTTTCTTGGTAACTTAGATATCATATTCCTGCATTTACATGAGCCAAAAAAGATATTTATAAATACGAAGTCAAATGAACACGGTACTACATGTACCAATATAGCCTGCTGAATAATATGAATTATTAAATACCATCTGACATATTGTCCTCTAATACTTGTAATTAAGGTCCAAAACACCAGAAGCCTAGGTATTACACTTGGCATCATATGCACTGCACATTATTATTTTATTTCAGAAAAGTTAGCTGTAGGAACAGATACCTACAGCTAACTAGGTGCAATGATGGGCAATGATTTAATGAAGATAGAAACCGAGGCTTATCACCAATAACAACTTGAAACATAACAAAACTTGAGCACTCCTGTAGAATCCTTCACACAACCTCTCTGGGTATGTGGTAATGGTGGCGCTGTCTGCACTCTCTTATACTTCCTCAACCTTGATGACTGAAATAGGACAGGAAAAAAACATCTTACTATAGTCATTATAACAGTGTAGTTAAAGAAAAATGAGATACAAATGTACTTTGTAATTTTCATGAATGCATAAATAATCACATCTTTCAAATATACAGTGTCCATGCTTGAGAGAGGTTTTTATCCTAATTATGCTCAAATCTTTTAGTGCTGCAAAACCAATACAAATAATAATAATAATAATAATAATAAACGAATAAAATTTCATAAATCACTTTCTTACCTGCATCAAGTCTACCTCTTATTGCTGCGCATTTCAAACAAAGTGTTGTCATCCTCTTCATCGCTTTGTTCCAAAGGCCTCATTTCCATGTTGTCTGATGTCGCCAGAACACCGTACTTCCTGGATTTATTTTTTGCTTTTCTAACCCTAAAAAAAGCACAAAAATATTATTTTCAACACAAAATCTCCACAGTTTTGTAAAGGCCAACATGTAAAACCACCTATATAGTCAGAAGCTCCTTATACATTTTTACACTTCGCCATTCATTATTCTTAAATCTAGAATTTAATTTGTAAATATTGTAGTAGTTTTTGTTCCCAATGATGTGACAACTAAATTGCTATCATACATGCATTAAAGAATAATTTATTGCAATTGCTGTGGAAATCTTAAAAAAATTAAATCATTTTCATCCAGACTCCAGAGAATATGGAAAATTTTACCCTTACATTCATACACTACCAGCACCAGGATACATCAGTCTAACAGACTACTGTGTGAGGATCTATATTAGTTGTACGACCATTATTATGTGGGGAAAAGTAGGTCAAAATAAAATCAACACAACTTGGAGGTCTTCTGTTGCATATACTGTCCCGTACTGAATAATTAAGTTGAGATCCACCTGTGGCTGGTGAGCAAGGATTCTTAGCACATTAAACTCTAAGTACAAAAGATGTCTGACTGACAAGTCGTAACTCTGAGAGTTACGACTTGTCAGTAAAACACATGCAGCCCCCTTGGCATTTAACAAGAGTATAAAATCTTCAAAACTGACACTTTGTACAGGTATTTCTCTTTCAGTCAAACGAGTAAGAACCTGGCCTGAGTCACAATTTGGAAGAAATGGTGCCGTCATTGCCAAAATTATCCTTTAAAAAGTAAAAGGAATCAGACCTTGGCCATATTCAAATCCGACCTGCATTTAAGTCCAATGAGAAACCAAGAGTTTGAAGCAAAACAGTAAAATGGCAATAACTGTGTTCAGTTATTGTTGTTAAAAAAATTCACACTGCTGCAGCTTCAGTTCTGACGCCAGGTGGAGACGATGGCAATATATGTACAGACACCACCACCTGCACATGTGATAGAAGCCAGAAATAAACTACTAGGTAGATGTCAGAAATAAACTACTAGGTTTTTGCAGTAATGGTGGCACCTGCATTTGTCAAAACTAAACTTGTAATTGTATGCAGCGTTTCTTAAATAATAAGTTTAATCTCAAATAATGGCAGCCTTGAACTTGAATCATGAATATATGCTACTGTATTTATCACTGGCATGGGCATTTATTATAGTCCAATAACTGTTGAATAACAATTAACAGGAAGACTATTTCTTACCTGATATACTTAATTCCAAAATAGACAATGACTATGAATGTCACCCCCAGCAGCACGTAAAAGGCCCTCTGCAACATGGCTCGATTTTCATTTATTTTTTTCCAAATATACCCCGTCGATACTTGTTCTGTGTCATTGGTCGTCGTACTGTTACAGGTGTTATTTTCACCTGAACTGTTTGTGCAAGGTGTTGCCACTGTTGTTGTGAGTGTGTCATTTTGAGCTGCTGCGTTTCCTACAGATCTGTCGCCCGCTGTCTTTCCTTCAACACTGGCGCTGTCAATTCGAACAAGTAATAAAACGACAACAAGGCACCATGTTCCAAGTGCAAGCACGCCTGTCCTCTTAAACTGATCCATGTCTGTTTTAATCTGATCTTAAAGCGAATTCTATAAACTCATTTTCCACACCAGCAAGCGTAACTGCGTTTTAACCAGCAGCCAGGATCTGCTGACTAGCACATCATCATCCAAAAATGGCGTTTACTGACGACAGCTTCCGGTTTAGAGGCTATTTAAAGTTTTTCTACTTTATGTTTAAAAAAGCACATTGTTGGTATTTTAAGAACGGCATTCAGCAGTAAAGCGCTGTCGTTTTATTTGCTTATAATCATGTTTGATTCCACTGTTTTTCTCTTGCATTTCGGCATAAAATCAAAAATATGGCGTGGAGAGTATAACACAAGCCCATGTGTACCTTAGCAGTAGGCTGCTGAGCGGAGATAAACGTAAACCGGCGTCAGGTTGTTGCACTGAATTATTTCAGTTTCAACTGACACATGATGAGTTCACTATTAGATGGTCATTTAACAAAGATAGTGTTAGTTGTACTGGTTGCCACCGTCGTAAGATGGTGTGTTTCGCTGAACTCTCATTCAGGTAAGACATTCAAATGGGAGGCATATATGATAATCATAATGATATCCTGCAGTTCCCGTTTACTGATTCTTGTGCTTCAACTTCATTGCTGGGCAATTTCTTCATTTTGAAACCTCCACTAAGCCCGTGTATTGACCCTGACCTTTGCTGAGTATCTGTTCTGTATGCACCTACCGATAAAGCAATTCTTTCATTGTTGTTGGTGTGATAACTATAAAGCTACAGTGCATGCATATCTGCCAACGCCAACTACAGGTATATATTGCTTAACCAGTGTGAGTGTTGAAGTTAAATTGTCAACAGTGTTGATGACAGGGGGGTAAAATGACATTACTCTATCTTTCTTGATTGCCTCATGATTTTCTTCAAATTTCTTGTAAGACGGCAAGTTACAGAAATTGTTGACTCTCGAACGTTGTTGGAATTTTAAAATTCTGTGGAAAGTGTAAATGCGATTGAAACTTGCAGAGGTTATTTAGGCTGGCAGGCTTTGGTGACAACTTTGAATTTAGTTTAACTGACGGTTAATAACAAACTAAAAAACCTAATACCTTAAGTTGTGTTATAGTTGAACTTTAAAATGGGACTACTTAAACCTCCTCCATCCAGATCTAATATTGCACATTAACCCCCCCCCAGTAATTATCTGTGTTAATTATATACATTCAAGGTCTAATTTATTTTATAGGACAGGGGAAACCCCCAATGTTTGGTGATTATGAAGCCCAAAGACATTGGATGGAAATCACAGTTAATCTGCCTCCAAAGGAATGGTAATGAAAAATCTGAACTCAAATTATATATGTGTACTTCATTTGTTCTAAAAATATAGATTTGAATAATAAGACCAGAATTCTGTCCATAAAATAGTTTTTACCATTCAATTGTCTTATTTCTACAGATATCTTTTTTCCATTATCTTTCGTTTTTAAGGCAGTCACCCTGAGTGTATATGAAAACAAAATCAAGCGATAGTTTTGTGGTTTTTAAAGTATACAAACATATTTTTTGGTAAGCTGAAATTCATTGTGTTCAGATTATCCAGGTGTTTGCAGAGCATGGAGTTTACTTTTCTGAATTTATAGGTATTTTAACAGCAGTGCCAATGACTTACAGTACTGGGGTCTGGACTACCCTCCTCTTACAGCATATCACAGCTGGTTGTGTGGAATGATGTGAGTATATCTACTCTATATGTAAACTAAGACACCCCCACCCCCACCCCCACCCCCCTTACAGTACTGGGTCTGGACTACCCTCCTCTAACAGCATATCACAGCTGGTTGTGTGGAATGATGTAAGTATATCTACTCTACATGTATATGTAAACTAAGACACCACCACCCCCACCCCCCCTTACAGTACTGGGGTCTGGACTACCCTCCTCTAACAGCATATCATAGCTGGTTGTGTGGAATGATGTGAGATGTGATTGCGATTTTGAATTTGTAGATTGTATAAGAATAAATTTACACAATTGCTTTGAAAAATTTTAAGAAATGTCTGTAATGAAGTTCTTAAAGCATATTTGATATATATATATATGGAAGTCTGAATAAACTAGACTTTGAACCAGCAACCTGGGTTTAGTGAATTATTCCCGGTAACACGAGTATGCTAAACTATTATTTTTAATCTTACACAGAGATCTCTAGTTGTTTTCAGCACAATGGATGTTTATAATAATTTTTCTTTTTCATCAGAGCCAAGTTCATCAACCCAGAATGGGTGGCACTGTACTCATCAAGAGGAGTAGATAACCCTACACACAAGTTGTTCATGAGATCTACAGGTGATGTATTGTTCTCTCCTAGGGGACAGTTGCTTCCATTTATAACCAATTCATTTTAAATGTTTTACTAAAAAAAAGGTAATTTACTATGTGAACCATTATAATCAAGCTGATTTTGTCTCGAGTTTTTTTTAAATAAAAAATCTAATGATTTTAATTGTTACCTTTTATTGTGTTAATGTTTTTTTTTTTTATGTTTTTCTCTCTATTTCAGTGCTGGTGGCAGATTTTTTGGTATTCTTTCCAGCAGTGTTTGCTTACTTTCTGTACACAGACAAAATTAAATTTGACAAAGATAGGGTAGGTTGGATTAAACAGGATTAATTTTAAGTTTGGACAGGAGTAATGATGTAGGATTGAAATTCACTAACAACTTTTACAGCTGAATGACAGAAAATGAGTGAAGTATTAAAGTGACAGAAATATTCATCCTAAAACATTTTAAGAAACTATTTTCTTGTACTCAGGAGACAATATATGATGTCCTATTTTCCCTCAGTCAAGTTTTCCATTTTTTCTAATTTTTTCAGACTATTGCAATTCTCTGCTGCTTCCTCTATCCTGGAATAATCCTTATTGATCATGGGCACTTTCAGTATCCTTTTATTGTGAATATTTGGTTGATTGACTGATTGATCTTCATTGATAATAACCACTTCTGGTACCTCTTTTTAATTATTGAATATATTGATCCAGTATATAGAATGTAATATGTATAGTACTGATTATATGGGTAACTTAAAAACAGATTGCACAATATTTCACATACAGTAAATATGCCTTAACTTCTTAAAGGTATAATGGGATTAGTTTAGGGTTGACTGTCCTAGCAGTGGTATTTTTGTCCACTGATCATGATCTCCTGGGCTCAATGGCATTCTCTCTGGCACTGAACTACAAACAAATGGAGCTGTACCATGCCATGCCATTCTTCTGTTATCTAATGGGGAAGTGTTTAACTGCTGAGAAGGAAAATTGGTATGTAGTTTTTTATAGATGGTTTGAATTTATTTATTTATTCATTAATTTTTTTTACCTCAGAATTTTTTAACTTTATTATTAATGCTTGGAGAAAACATTCTGTTTTCTCTTTGCTACCTAATAATCTTTTAATTTGGTTTTAGTATACAAAAAAAGTTTTTTTTTTTTAATCAAATACTGGACTTCAAATTTTGTTTAGTTAATGACACTATGTTTCCTGCACGGAGACTTCAGGTGATCTTCTGAGAATACAGAACTATTATCAGTCTTGTTACGTAAACACTGTTGTCTGGTAGGCAAAATGGTTAGTCCAGTGATTATTTAAAATTATTTCATATGAAATACAACTGGATGGCTAACATACATTACATGGTGGTATTTTTTAGCATGTTTTCTATCTATGTGTCTGTTTTGTTTCAGGTTTTTCAAACTAGCCAAGATTGGTATAGTTGTAATCTCCACATTTTTCCTCTGTTGGCTGCCATTTTTGACAAGTGCAGAGTCAGCCCTGCAAGTTCTACATCGCCTCTTTCCATTTGCTAGAGGACTCTACGAGGTCAGTAAAAGCCAGTAATAGGATTTTAGGTCTTTATATTTCTAGGTACTGTTGTATGGGAGAGTCTTGTTTGCAAACTTTTTCAGATTTTTGACAATCCAGCACCTACAGGATAAATCTTAAATATTTGTTGTTTTCAAAGCTGTTTTCGTTAAAATAGAAATTGGTACAGAGAATCTCTGCTTCCATTGTGTTCTTATATTCAGACTTTCTTTTCTTGGTCAGCTTCATCAGTTTTTACCAGCTTTTATAAAAAATGGAAATATTAACATTTTTAGGACAAGGTGTCAAATTTCTGGTGTACCCTGTCTCTGGTGGTGAAGCTGAGACAGATGATGTCACGCGAGGACCTGGTGGTCCTATGGTAAGGTGCAGTTAAAAGGATGAAAAAGTTTATATTAAGTTTTTTAATATTTTTTCAAACTTGTAATGGATTTTTAGTTTATTGGCATGTTTTAATTTCATTTCACTTAATGTATTTTGCAGTGTTCTTACATCTGGTAAATGAAATAGATTCCAGTAATAGCACAACTTAACTGGGTTTACCTCTTAGTCACAATGGGAGATTTTTGTAAGTTACATCAACATTCATGGACTTTGTTAACATAAAGTAACACCAGACAAGATCTGAGGTCTGAGTTTTGAATTAATTACAAGTGCAGAAGTTTTTTCTTTCCAGTGGCGGAACAACGTTGGCAGCTCTCCTTCCCTCCTCCATAAATCTGTTACGTAATCCAACTATAGACAGGTTTAAGCTGGCTTTGGTAAGTGAAAGCTAGACATTCAGTTCTTTTTGAAACTTGAGATTAACACAATTTCACAAGATATTGACCCAAGCAGTAATCATGTTGCACATTCATGTTGTATTGACAGACAATTAAGATGAGTACCTCTTCTATCCTTGTCCTGAAGTTCCTTGTACGTTGAGTTAATCCAGGAATGTAGAGCAAACAAGGCAAATATTTTTTATCCCTGCCCGCCCTTGATTTCAATATTTCCTTATGAAATTTCATGAGGTTTAATGGCAGAGAAAATGAACCATGATTGATTTAGAACTAAACTCATTTAGAAATGTTAAAAAACCCAATGATCTGAAATTTTAATAAGGAGGATGTTATCCTACTTAAGGATACCTTACATCAACTTGTTCAATTGTACAGTTCTAAAAAAACTAGAGTGACATATGAATAATGGAATTTATCTTTTGTTTGTATCCTAATCTATAATACAAGACATGCTTTTAAATTTCAGGTAAATTCCTCAATGGTGTTTTTCCTGTTTTCATTCCAAGTTCATGAAAAATCCATTTTGATAGCAGCAATGTAAGTCACCTTATTCATTTGAAAGATTTTAAGATTGTCCATGTTTTACACTCTGTATAAGATGGGGAGATTTAGGCTGATTTTCAGAATGTTTATAAATATTTTGTGTTTCAAAAGCAGTCTTGTTTAAAAATGTAAATCACCAGTTATAGGTAAGACCAGACACACCAGTAAGTCTGTGCACAACTAGCACATTTTTTAGGTGTCCCGTACAATTTTACTTTATATTTCAGACCAGTGTGTCTATTACTCCATGAGAGACCATTTCCCTGCTTTTGGTTCCTGCTCATTTCAACATTTAGGTAAGTACCACCATCTTTTAATTTTTTCTTTTCACATTTGAAAATATTTTACAATGTATGTAATTGCTTTTCAGAATAAAAAGGTATGTCCGATTTAATTTTTTTTCTTTTTGACTGAATTTCACGTTATCTGATATTTCCACTTTAGAATCTACTCCCATTATTTCAGCATGTTTCCACTGTTGGTGATGGACGGTCTGGTGGTTGCAACCATAGCAACAGGTTTGTTATACTTCACCATAGCAACCAGCAACCTGGACTTTGGACCCTATACCTCATACTTTCCCGGAAACAGAATTTCAGTTCCACAGGAAAGGAATGATGTGAGGTTACTCATAGCAACAATGGTAAGGTTTCCTCATTTACTGCTATAAATAACGTATTCTAAGGCACATTCATCATCTGGAATGTGTGTGTGGGGGGGGGGGGGAGGGAGCGCGGCGAAAAGCATATTAATATCAGGGTTGACAAAGTAGGTGATATGCAATGGGCTCCGCCTACATTAGACACTTGGGGAACAAACATTTGTTTGAAGAACTTTTATGTTCCAGTTTGGCAATANAATTTTGAATTTGTAGATTGTATAAGAATAAATTTACACAATTGCTTTGAAAAATTTTTAGAAATGTCTGTAATGAAGTTCTTAAAGCATATTTGATATATATATGGAAGTCTGAATAAACTAAACTTTGAACCAGCAACCTGGGTTTAGTGAATTATTCCCGGTAACACATGAGTATACTAAACTATTATTTTTAATCTTACACAGAGATCTCTAGTTGTTTTCAGCACAGTGGATGTCCATAATAATTTTTCTTTTTCATCAGAGCCAAGTTCATTAACCCTGAATGGGTGGCACTGTACACATCAAGAGGAGTAGATAACCCCACACACAAGTTGTTCATGAGATCTACAGGTGATGTATTGTTCTCTCCTAGGGGAAAGTTGCTTCCATTTATAACCAATTCATTTTAAATGTTTTACTAAAAAAAGGCAATTTACTATGTGAACCATTATAATCAAGCTGATTTTGTCTCAAGTTTTTTTTAATAAAAAATCCAATTGTTGTTAAATGATTTTGTTACCTTTTATTGTGTTAATGTATTTTTTTTTTATATTTTTCTCTCTCTTTCAGTGCTGGTGGCAGATTTTTTGGTATTCTTTCCAGCAGTGTTTGCTTACTTTCTGTACACAGACAAAATTAAATTTGACAAAGATAGGGTAGGTTGGATTAAACAGGATTAATTTTAAGTTTGGACAGGAGTAATGATGTAGGATTGAAATTCACTAACATCTTTTATAGCTGTATGGCAGAAAATGAGTGAAGTATTAAAGTGACAGAAATATTCATCCTAAAACATTTTGTGAAACTATTTTCTTGTTCTGAGGAGACAATATATGATGTTCTATTTTCCCTCAGTCAAGTTTTCCATTTTTTTTCTCATTTTTTCAGACTATTGCAATTCTCTGCTGTTTTCTCTATCCTGGAATAATCCTTATTGATCATGGACACTTTCAGTATCCTTTTATTGTGAATATTTGGTTGATTGATTGATATTCATTGATAATGATCACTTCTGGTACCTTTTTTTTATTATTGAATATATTGATCCAGTATATAGAATGTAATATGTATAGTACTGATTATATGGGTAACTTAAAAAAAGACTGCACAATATTTCACATACAGTAAATGTGCCTTAACTTCTTAAAGGTATAATGGGATTAGTTTAGGGTTGACTGTCCTAGCAGTGGTATTTTTGTCCACTGATCATGATCTCTTGGGCTCAATGGCATTCTCTCTGGCACTGAACTACAAACAAATGGAGCTGTACCATGCCATGCCGTTCTTCTGTTATCTGCTGGGAAAGTGCTTTTCTGCTGAGAAGGAAAACTGGTATGTAGTTCTTTAGAGATGGTTTGAATTTATTTATTTATTCATTAATTTTTTTTACCTCAGAATTGTTTTTAACTTTATTATTAATGCTTGGAGAAAACATTCTGTTTTCTCTTTGCTACCTAATAATCTTTTAATTTGGTTTTAGTGTACAAAAAAAGTTTTTTTTTTTTTTTAATCAAATACTGGACTTCAAATTTTGTTTAGTTAATGACACTGCGTTTCCTGCACAGAGACTTCAGGTGATCTTCTGAGAATACAGAACTATTATCAGTCTTGTTACGTAAACACTGTTGTCTGGTAGGCAAAATGGTTAGTCCAGTGATTATTTAAAATTATTTCATATGAAATACAACTGGATGGCTAACATACATTACATGGTGGTATTTTTTAGCATGTTTTCTATCTATGTGTCTGTTTTGTTTCAGGTTTTTCAAACTAGCCAAGATTGGTATAGTAGTAATCTCCACATTTTTCCTCTGTTGGCTGCCATTTTTGACAAGTGCAGAGTCAGCCCTGCAAGTTCTACATCGCCTCTTTCCATTTGCTAGAGGACTCTACGAGGTCAGTAAAAGCCAGTAACAGGATTTTAGGTCTTTATATTTCTAGGTACTGTTGTATGGGAGAGTCTTGTTTGCAAACTTTTTCAGATTTTTGACAATCCAGCACCTACAGGATAAATCTTAAATATTTGTTGTTTTCAAAGCTGTTTTCGTTAAAATAGAAATTGGTACAGAGAATCTCTGCTTCCATTGTGTTCTTATATTCAGACTTTCTTTTCTTGGTCAGCTTCATCAGTTTTTACCAGCTTTTATAAAAAATGGAAATATTAACATTTTTAGGACAAGGTGTCAAATTTCTGGTGTACCCTGTCTCTGGTGGTGAAGCTGAGACAGATGATGTCACGCGAGGACCTGGTGGTCCTATGGTAAGGTGCAGTTAAAAGGATGAAAAAGTTTATATTAAGTTTTTTTATATTTTTTCAAACCTGTAATGGATTTTTAGTTTATTGGCATGTTTTAATTTCATTTCACTTAATGTATATATTTTGCAGTGTTCTTACATTTGGTAAATGAAATTGATTCCAGTAATATCACAACCTAACTGGGTTTACCACTTAGTCACAAAGGGAGATTTTTGTAAGTTACATCAATATTCATGGATTTTGTTAACATAAAGTAACACCAGACAAGATCTGAGGTCTGAGTTTTGAATTTACAAGTGCAGAAGTTTTTTTCTTTCCAGTGGTGGAACAACGTTGGCAGCTCTCCTTCCCTCCTCCATAAATCTGTTACGTAACCCAACTATAGACAGGTTTAAGCTGGCTTTGGTAAGTGAAAGCTAGACATTCAGTTCTTTTTGAAACTTGAGATTAACACAATTTCACAAGATATTGACCCAAGAAGTAATCCAAGAATGTTGCACATTCATGTTGTATTGACAGACAATTAAGATGAGTACCTCTTCTCCCCTTGTCCTGAAGTTTCTTGTACATTGAGTTAACCCAGGAATGTAGAGCAAACAAGGCAAATATTTTTTTATCCCTGCCCGCCCTTGATTTCAATATTTCCTTATGAAATTTCATGAAGTTGAATGGCAGAGAAAATGAATCACGATTGATTTAGAACTAAACTCATTTAGAAATGTTAAAAAACCCAATGATCTGAAATTTTAATAAGGAGGATGTTTTCCTACTTAAGGATGCCTTACATCAACTTGTTCAATTGTACAGTTCTAGAAAAACTGGAGTGACATGATTAATGGCATTTATCTTTTGTTTGTATCCTAATCTATAATACAAGACATGCTTTTAAATTTCAGGTAAATTCCTCAATGGTGTTTTTCCTGTTTTCATTCCAAGTTCATGAAAAATCTATTTTGATAGCAGCAATGTAAGTCACCTTATTCACTTGAAAGATTTTAAGATTGTCCATGTTTTACACTCTGTATAAGATGGGAAGATTTAGGCAGATTTTCAGTGTGCCCCATGGTTATAAAATTTTGTGTGTTTTGTTTAAAAATGTAAATCACCAGTTATAGGTAAGACCAGACACACCAGTAAGTCTGTGCATGACTAGCTTATTTTCAAGGTGTCTCATACTTTATATTTCAGACCAGTGTGTCTATTACTCCACGAGAGACCATTTCCCTGCTTGTGGTTCCTGCTCATATCAACATTTAGGTAAGTACCACCACCTTTTAATTTTTCTTTTCAACTTTTGGCATTTTTAAAAATATATTACAGTGTATGTAATTGCTTTACAGAATAAAAAGATATGTCCCATTTAATTTTTTTTTCTTTTTTGCTGAATTTCATCTTATCTGATATTCATTTCCACTTAAGAATCTACTCCCATTATTTCAGCATGTTTCCACTGCTGGTGATGGACGGTCTGGTGGTTGCAACCATAGCAACAGGTTTGTTATACTTCACCATAGCAACCAGCAACCTGGACTTTGGACCCTATACCTCGTACTTTCCTGGAAACAGAACTTCAGTTCCACAGGAAAGGAATGATGTGAGGTTACTCATAGCAACAATGGTAAGGTTTCCTCAGTTACTGCTATAAAATAATTACGTATTATAAGGCACATTCATCATCTGGAATGTGTTTGTGTGTGTGGGGGGGGGGGGGGAGCGCGGCAAAAAGCATATTAATATCAGGGTTGACAAAGTAGGTGATATGCAATAGACTCTGCCTTGATAAGACACTTGGGGAACGAACATTTGTTTGAAGAACTTTTATATTCCAGTTTGGTAATATTTATTCGTTTCAGCAAATACCAAAGAAAAAATTAATTGCACAAGATTTATATTAAGAGATAAATGAGTTGTAAGGTGACAAAATAAAGCACTCCACTATTGTTCATAATTTAAAAGAGATCCTAAAGGGATTTTCAAGCCAAATGCAATTTTCCTTTAAAAAGTTTTCTCCTACTTATGGCATGGCTCAACTTAACTTGTGCACTTGAATGGAGGTTTTTATACCATTTCTAATCAAGGTCTAACCCAATCCCGATTCATTTTCTCTGCCATTCAAATTCATGAAATTTCTTAAAAATATTGAAATCAAGTACTTTAATTTTAATGGGAAGTGTCATTTTTAAATTTGAAAAGAAAAGTAGCTTTGCAGAATATTTACACATGCCATTTGCAGTTAGTACATTTTCAAATGTCCGTAGGATTTCTTTAATTGGCAATTAATCATAATACATTTTTCTTTCCAGTTTTGGTTATCTCTGTTGGGAAGTGTAGTATTAGCAGTGGCCAGTTTAACGCTGACTCCACCCAAAAAATTACCAGACTTGTTTCCAGTCCTGATCTCAGCATATTCCTGCTGCCATTTTGTACTGTTTACGCTATATTTTCACTGGTGGCAGTTTACGTGTGGCAGCAGTGAGACTATGACTAAACACAGGGTCAGTGCAAGAAATGAAAAGAAAAAAAGGACATGAATTCTCCAGATCTGCAGGGATTATAGAATCAGTTGAAAAAAAATGAAATATGGGAAAAAAGGACAGGTTTCCCATGTAGTGCGGATAAATATATGGAAATTCTATCGTATGTTGATTACAACATTATATGTATCACGAGAGGCAAATTGCCAACTGTATTTGAATATATTGGTTAACAAATCGTTTGAAAATAAATATTTCAACAGAATTGACAATTTATTTAGCTTAAATATTGGCATAATTATGGCATTTATACAAATGCCTTTCATATATACTCCATGGAGTATGAGCAATAAAGATATTCTAAGAAAGGTGAAGTGTTTCATAATTTCTGTGCAGCATGGTTCATGTGGTAGCAATGCCAATAAACATGCCAGCCAAAGCTGGCAAATATACAGACATTCTATATAAGTTAAAATACAAAGGATACTGAAAATAATTGTATCTGTGATTAAAAAGTAATGTACATGGAACCATTTGAGAGATGAGAGATGTCCATGTTTAAACTTTTACAACTAAAAAGGGTTATAATATAGTAACTGTCGATTTAATCAAAGAAAATATCAGGAATAAATTGATCACACCTATTTTTAATCATTAAATTTACTGACAGTTAAAAGCCTTAGCCCTGGCACTTTTAGCTTAAACAATTTGGATTTTGATGATTAAAGCAATAATAACTCTTCCTTTGAGATTCAAAAATCCGCATGAAATACATTNGCACAAGATTTATATTAAGAGATAAATGAGTTGTAAGGTGACAAAATAAAGCACTCCACTATTGTTCATAATTTAAAGAGATCCTAAATGGTTTTTCAAGCCAAATGCAATTTTCCTTTAAAAAGTTTTCTCCTACTTATGGCATGGCTCAACTTAACTTGTGCACTTGAATGGAGGTTTTTATACCATTTCTAATTAAGGTCTAACCCAATCATGATTCATTTTCTCTGCCATTCAACTTCATGAAATTTCTTTAAAATGTTGAAATCAAGTACTTTAATTTTAATGGGGAGTATCATTTTTAAATTTGAAAAGAAAAGATGCTTTGCAGAATATTTACACATGCCATTTGTAGTTGGTACATTTTTTAATGTCCATAGGATTTCTTTAATTGGCAATTAATCATAATACATTTTTCTTTCCAGTTTTGGTTGTCTCTGTTGGGAAGTGTAGTATTAGCAGTGGCCAGTCTAACACTGACTCCACCCAAAAAATTACCAGACTTGTTTCCAGTCCTGATCTCAGCATATTCCTGCTGCCATTTTGTACTGTTTACGCTATATTTTCACTGGTGGCAGTTTACGTGCAGCAGTAGTGAGACTATGTCTAAACACAGGGTCAGTGCAAGAAATGAAAAGAAGAAAAGGACATGAATTCTTCAGATCTGCAGGGATTATAGAACCAGTTCAAAAAACAAATATGGGAAAAAAGGACAACTTTACCATGTCTGCAGGGATAAATAATAATGTCCTCGTTATTTTATTGATTACACCATATGTATGTAACGTGTGGTAAATTGCCAACTGTACTTGCTTGTATTGGTTTCTCCCATTTGGCAGTTACATGTCATTTGAAAATAAATATTTGTATTGGAATTAAAATATTAATTAGCTTAAATATTGGCATAATTATGGCATTTATACTAATGCCTTTCATATACATGTATACTCGGTGGAGTATGGGCAATAAAGATATTCTAAGAAAGGTTAAGTGTGTTTCATAATTTCTGTGCAATGTGCTAGCAAATATATTGACATTCTTTATCTATTAAAAGTTAAAATACAAAGAAAAGAATACTTTAAATTTTACCGACAGTTAAAGGGCCAAGCTCCAGCACCTTCAGGTTAAACAGTTTTAGATTAGGATTTTGATGATGTTGGAAGTATTTCATTACATTAGACAAATTTTAATATCATGTCCCATTAGATAATTTAAAAAAACATTTTGAAAAATCTACAATACACGTAGTAACTGCTCCAAATATCTCATTAAATAATCTTCATACATTCTATTTCTTAACAAGAGTTCCTAAATAAAATATGCAATCCTCTCTCCAGTTGGGTTCCTTCCATCCAAGTGTTCCAAAGAACAGGTGTTATTCAAAGAGTTTGTTTATTATTTCTTCATGAGGCAGGGGCACCAACTTTCTTGTCTGTGTCTTCTCTGTAGTCAAAAAAAATATTCTATAAAAGTCCTATATCAGTGTAACGGTAAGTAGTTGGTGCAAAATTAAATAAGTTCAACTTAAACCATTAGGATCAATCAATATATCAACATTATATATATATAGACAGATAGATAGATAGATAGATAGTAGTATACTGGCATGTCTAAACTGAACAAACATAAGGACTCTTCCCCTATGAGGTTAGTTTCAAATAGTGCTTTACCTTGGCTACCTGAGGGATTCGAATCGTCATCTTTTTCTTTTTGTGACAGTTGCCTCAGTATTTGACCAGCTGAAAAATTGAAATGCAATATTCCCAGATTATGTAAGATTGTGAATATATAAATATACAATCTTTTTTAGCATTTGTTTAGTATTTAATTTTTAATCTGTTACCTATTACTTCATTACATTTCATTTATTAATAATTTAACTTTGTTTTTTTTGAAGAAGTTGATAACTTGGGAACAAGAACACTTAATTTCCATGGTTTGCTATTGCTTGCATACCAAGAAAATTAGTTCGGCTAAGTTCTGTCTTGATAATAGCCTCGTCGGATAGAGAGGCCAGCCGAGATGCCTGTTGAAGCACACTGCAAAGAACCTGAAATATTCAAAGAACAGTTTATGAATCCCTATTAAAGATCTCTACAGACTGCTATATAAACAGAGGCGGATCCAGTTTTTTTTTTTTTTTTTTCTGACAGTCTTCTAAATTATTTTTATTGATCTATCCTCCATTTTTGACAGTCTTCCAAAAGAAAAAATAAATACCCATCAGTGTAAACTTGAAAATCTGACAATCTTCTGGAAGACTTACAAGATGGCCTCAATCAGCCCCTGATAAACCTCAGCACATCCTAGCTAAGCTGAAGATGATACTATAGTTATTTTTCCAACCAATGAAATAACCGAGAACTGTAAAATTTTCTCGAGTTCTCGTCTGCATTCATTCCATGCAAAATGCATGTTGTATTACCTTTTTGTCGTTGAGCAAAGCCTTCTTCTTGGCCAACTTTCTTTTCAAAGCCAAAACCTCATTTCTTGTACCTGAATACCTGATTTGATAAAGACCATGAATTTAGTCTAATATTTAAGTAAAGAATGGTAGAAGACAGTTTAATTCATCAGTCTTGGATAAAATAATTCTGTAAGAAACAAAATGTAACTTTGTTTTTCTAGTTACTGTAGTGGAATATTTTTCACACAACAAAGAGGGATTTCTGTGACACTTACCTTTCTGACAAAGAGGCTCCTTCAAAGTTCCCTCTTGAGTCTATCTCCAGTTCTGCAGGTAAATTATCAACATCTTTTATTCCAAAATACTTTGCATTTGTCAAACTTATTTTACTGGCGGACTTTGAGCGCAGTTGATCCAGTTTATAGAGAACCTGCCTCTGAGCAAAGCGGTGGAATTTTTTCTGTGCATTTTCATTTAAATGTCGATTCACTGGAAGACAAATTCATCTTTCATTAGTTTAGGTGGGTCATTTTAAATATAAATACTCATCTAAACAAGTTTTCTAAACCTAACTTACGCAGATTAAAAAGCATCTTATAATGGGGAAAAACTGCTACTTAAAAAACATTAATTATATTATGGGTGGACAATTACTAAAACATTCCCACAATAAACTTTCAAAACTCACATTTGTTGAAACCTGTCTGCACCACAACATTTTTCTTGTAATTCCGAGATTTGTTAAAAGAGGTTGAAGCTCCTGTGGCACATAAAATAAATACATCATTGTACAGATGATAAAGAAGGAAAGAGTAATATGAGGGACATTTTAACTACTATTCTGGAATCAATTTAAAAAGAAACTACACTGGTGTAAAATTAGAGTCCAGAAGTTTTTTTTTTTTTTTTTTTTACATTTAAGATACAGAAATGTAGATTTTACCAGCAGCATTAAGGATCCCAATGGCTTCATTCAGGGTGAAAGGTGCAGACAAAAGATGAACATGTTGTCTTATAAAGTCATGGTCCTTCATGTGTGTAGAAACTGGAGCATCCGAATCTGAAATAGCAAAGCATTAAAATAACACCAATTTGTATTTCTTTTCAATATGATTAGATAGACTATTAAAAAAAAGTCAACTTTTAAAAAAATATACCATAACTTATTCCTCATAAAAACTGCCTTTAATCTATTTCAAATTTTTAAAAGGAAATTTCATTATCAGGAATTAAAGATTCGAAAGACCAGACTTCTTCAAGTTTGTATTTACCAGATATTTCACTTGCAGTTATTTTTTCATCTTCTGTCACTTCTTTCTCTGTAGCCACTTCTCCACTTCCTCTCTTGTCCACTGACTGTGTAGACGTTTGCTGTCCCGTCTCCAACTCTCTTCTCCCCTGAACACTGGTTACAGCATTATCCTCCTTTCTTCCTGCTCTTTCCAAGCCTTTGACGTGATCTGAATTTTCCCCAACACCTAGTTTTCTTTTCTTAGAAGATGAAACTTGCTCTTCTTTGTCTTCTTCCACATCCTCATCCCTAACATTTCCAGACCTCCTCTGATTTTTTACAAGTGATCTCTCTCTTTTCTTCTTCCCAGCAGATTTTGCACTTGTGTCTTTACGCACACTTCCAGATAATACTGGCTCTTGCTGGTAAACTCTTGTCACAGAGAACACAGATCTATTTGCAGTTGTTACTGATGTATCAGTTCTATTGGGAGTATTTAGATTTGAGTGGTTCTTTTCACTATCTGGTGCAGTGTCAGTTCTCTTAGATGTTGTGTTTTCAGAGGATCTTCTTTCCTCGGAGGTGACAGGTTCATCAGGCAGAGGTGGTTCACTCACGTGACTGCCTGTGTCTGACTCTTTACGGGGAAAAAAATTAATACAACGTTAAAACTATTCTGTAAAGTAACAATGGTACAATGCAACTTGGTCAAAAGAATCCAAGTGTAACTTTTTTTATCTGTATTTTGACTGATGACAGAATGTCCTCCTATCATTCAATACACATTTAACTTGATTAAATTCTTAACAGGGAACAATCAACTGAATCAACCTGCTCTCATAAGTTTCTTACCATCTTCACTTGCTTCTTTTTCAATCTGGTCTAAGTCTTCACCACCTTGTTCCTCCAGTGACGCATCCTGGGGAGGCTCCTCTGTGACCTCCGTTGTCCTTGACCTAGTGACCTCCAGTGATGCATCCTGGGTAGGCTCCTCTGTGACCTCTGCTGTCCTTGACCTAGTAACCTGGTGTGAGCTGGATGACCTTGAGGCTCTCATGGAGACTTCCTCAGACTCTGCTCTTGCCATTTCCTGTGAGTCATCCTGCTCATCTTCTGATGAACTGGAAATTACAGGTCTCTTGTCAGTCTTGTCTCTTGCTGATACTTTGCGATGTCTTTGGACCACTTTTGCCGAGTCTGTCAACGGCGGTGACAGCTTTTCTGATGACTGTGTTGATGGAGTCCCTTGAGGAGTTTCCTTCAATGACTCACCTCTCCCACTACTTACTGACTGTCTTAAGTCAGGTTGATGTCTGTCAGTCTTTTTTTCCCTATTTTCTTCCTCGTCATTATGTTCTGAATCATCTTCTGACTCAGATTCACTGGCATTTTTGCTCGTCTTTTTCACAGAGTGGCTAGTCTGTCTCTTTTCTTCCTTTTGTAATTCTTTTCTGGAAGTGTTTGTCTTTGAAGAACTTTGCCTTCTGCTTTGCACTGTATCAGTTTCCAGAGTGCCGGTCTCTGGTGCTCCCCTAGTATCTGGGTCACTTTGCTCGTCATTACTTTGACTGGCCCTAGACCTTGTTGATAGTCTACGAGAGGTAGCCCTTGATTCTTTCTGGGCAGAGGCCTTTTATATAAATGTATAGAAAAAAACATTTGTGGAAATGATGCACTATAAGGTCAAAAATAAATACAAATCATTCTTTTTCCTTTAAATAGTTTTTTAATGAAAATACAAAGTTACCATATATAAAACAGCAGTAATTTGATAAAATGTTAATTCCATTATTTCTGATGTGAGTAACACAAGCATTAAAATATGAAAATAAGTTGGCCTCAAATACTTTTTTCCACCAGACACTCATTGTCACCCTGAATTGAACTTCATTTCACGGTGCCAGTACTCACCCTATTTTTCCTGTTGTCTCCAGTATTTCCTTGGCTCTTTTTCCCAGTATTAGATCCAGTTGGTCGTCTTCCTCTTGTCCTTACATCTGGTGAGGACTCAGAGCCTCCTGTCTGCTGTCCCCTGGTGCCTTACAAAGATAAATAAATAAATTAATTAATTAATTAATAAATAACATGCTAGTATGCTCCTGTCGTCCCTCTGTTCCTTACACAAATATAAATAAGTAATAAGTAAATACATTAAATATGCTTCTGTTGACCCTCTGTGCCTTACAAACATAAATTAATAAAGTAATATATGCTTCTTTTCTCCCTTTCTGCCTTAAAAATACAGATAAACAAAAAAATTAATAACATATGCAATAGAATTGACCACTGGTGAGTTCTTAACCTACACCATGTTAACATTACAGTACTTATGCTTTCACTCAACCTGTCGAGATATTTTTTTCTTCAATATATTACACTTCACTTACAGTTAAAACATACTCTCTGATACTAAAATCATGCTGAAAAATAATTCACAATTCTGTCAACAGACAAATGGACTGATTAACTCTCATGAAAATACAATTTCTATAAAACAGACATGAGCCTAGGTTTTAAAAAAAAAACCTCTGAACATTTATCATGGGACCCAACACCTAACCTTGACAAATCTAAGGAACCATCAGAACTGAATTAAAAAACGTGGAATTCTGCTTTTCCACATGTCTAATACAAGAAACATTTTAAACTAAATTGTTGAAAACTGTGTCACCAAACATCAACTGATTCATTCTTGTTTAAATATGTAATTTCTATACATATTTAACCTAAGTGAAGAAAGCCTGTTCTGGCGTAGCTTTAACACTCACCAATTTAGCCAAATCCTAAACAAAAACAAAAAAATGGTTGATTTGACTTGTTTTAGTCAAATTAAAACCATTCTGAGAGAAAAAAAGTGTTGAAAAAGTAGTGATTTAGCTAAGAGAAAAAAATTGCTAGCACTACCCCAGCTGCTGTGCCTACCTCTCCTGCTGGCAGTAGTGTNAAAATTGCCGTTTTTTCCAGGAAAATCCAATTTTTGGCCAAAACGAAGAGTTATTATGACTTTAAGTTGGAAGTATTTCACAGACATGACCTTTTCCATACAAAAAGCGGAATTCCGCATTTTTTAAATATATTCTGACAGTTCATCAAGGTTAGGTGTTGGGTCCCATGATAAATGTTCAGAGGTTTTGTTGTTTTTTTTTTTAACCTAGGGACCATTCCCACTCCCTGGGCAGTCTCACTAATTTGCTATCAACTTAACCGGCTTAAATGTCTGTCACACCCAGTTAAGCTGTTAAGGGATAATTATCTTTACCCCCTAGCTGATTTGATAGGTGTGACAGGCATTTAAGCCGGGTAAGTTGATAGCAATTTAGTGAGACTCCCCAGGGAGTTAGACAGATCCAGATGGATCGATCTAGGCATGGGAACCCAGTCCTAGGCTCATGTCTGATTTCAGCACATTATACATTAATTATGTCCCACCTCAATTTTTAAACCATTGTAAAAAAATTACAATACTCATAGTTACTGCTCCAAATATATACCAAATTTCCCATTAAATAATCTTCATATTTCTTAAGAAGTATCTAAATGAAAACATGCAATCCTTTGTTCCAGTTGGGTTCCTTCCATTTAAGTGCTGTTAAAAGACAGGTGTTACTCAAAGAGCTTGTTTATTATTTCTTCATGAGGCAGGGGCACCAACTTTCTTGTCTGCGTCTTCTCTGTAATAAAAAAAAACATTCCATAAAAGTACTGGTAATTAAAATTAAATGTGTTCAATTTAAAACCATTACGATCAGTCAATATATCAATATAATAATTATATATATATACATACAAGTATATTGGCATGTCTAAATTGAACAAACATAAGGACTCTTCCCTTACAATTTTAGGCAAATAGTGATTTACCTTGGCTACCTGAGGGATTCGAATCGTCATCTTTTTCTTTTTGTGTCAGTCGCCTCAGTATTTGACCAGCTGAAAAAATTGTAATGTAACAATCCCAGAGACTGTGAATATATGAATCTACAATCATTTTTAGCATTTGCTTAGTATTTACTCTTTAATCTGATACCTATTACTTCATTACATTTCATTTATTAATAATTTAACTTTGTTTTTTTTTTAAAGAAGTTAATAACTTGGGAACAAGAACACTTAATTTCCATGGTTTGCTATTGCTTGCATACCAAGAAAATTAGTTCGGCTAAGTTCTGTCTTGATAATAGCCTCGTCAGATAGAGAGGCCAGCCGAGAAGCATGTTGAAGCACACTGCAAAGAACCTGAAATATTTAAAGCACAGTTTATGAATCCCTATTAAAGATCTCTACAGACTGCTATATAAACAGAGGCGGATCCAGTTTTTCTTCCTGACAGTCTTGTAAATTATTTTTGTTGATGTATCCTCCATTTTTGACCCATCAGTGTAAACTTGAAAATCTGACCATCTACCGGAAGACCCAAAAGACGGCCTCAATCCACCCCTGATAAACCTCAGCACATCCTAGCTAAGCTGAAGATGATATTATAGTTATTTTTCCAACCAATGAAATAACCGAGAACTGTAAAATTTTCTCGAGTTCTTGTCTGCATTCATTCCATGCAAAATGCATGTTGTATTACCTTTTTGTCGTTGAGCAAAGCCTTCTTCTTGGCCAACTTTCTTTTCAAAGCCAAAACCTCATTTCTTGTTCGTGAATACCTGGTATGATAAAGTACATGAATTTAGTCTAAGATTTAAGTAAAGAATGGTAGAAGACAGTTTAATTCATCAGTCTTGGATAAAATAATTCTGTAACAAACAAAATGTAACTTTATTTTTCTAGTTACTGTAGTAGAATACATTTCACACAACAAAGAAGGGATTTCTGTGACACTTACCTTTCTGACAGAGAGGCTCCTTCAAAGTTTCCTCTTGAGTCTATCTCCAGTTCTGCAGGTAAATTATCAACATCTTTTATTCCCAAATGCTTGGCACTTGTCAAACTTATTTTACTGGCGGACTTTGAGCGCAGTTGATCCAGTTTATAAAGAACCTGCCTCTGAGCAAAGCGGTGGAATTTTTTCTGTGCATTTTCATTTAAATGTCGATTCACTGGAAGACAAATTCATGTTTCATTAGTCTAGGTGGGTCATTTTAAATAAAAATACTCATCTAAACAAGTTTTCTGAACCTAACTTACGCAGATTAAAAAGCATCTTATAATGGGGAAAAACTGCTACTGAAAAAAACATTAATTATATTATGGGTGGACAATTACTAAAACATTCCCACGTAATAAATTTTCAATACTCACATTTGTTGAAACCTGTCTGCACCACAACATTTTTCTTGTAATTCCGAGATTTGTTAAAAGAGGTTGAAGCTCCTGTGGCACATAAAATAAATACATCATTGTACAGATGATAAAGAAGGAAAGAGTAATATGAGGGACATTATCTACTATTTTGAATCAATTTCATAAGAAACTACACTGGTGTAAAATTAGAATTCAGAAGTTTTTTTTTCTTTAAGATACAGAAATGTAGATTTTACCAGCAGCGTTAAGGATCCCAATGGCTTCATTCAGGGTGAAAGGTGCAGACAAAAGATGAACATGTTGTCTTATAAAGTCATGGTCCTTCATGTGTGTAGAAACTGGAGCATCAGAATCTGAAAATAGCAAAGCATCAAAATAACACCAATTTGTATTTCTTTTTAACATGATTAGATGAACTATCAAAAAAAGTCAACTTTTAAAAAAATATACCACAACATATTCCTCATAAAAAATGCCTTGAATCTATTTCAAATTTTTAAAAGGAAATTCCATTATCAGGAATTTAAAAAAAGAAAAAAAAAAAATATATATATATATATATATATATATATATATATATACTTCTTCAAGTTTGTGTTTACCAGATATTTCACTTGCAGTTATTTTCTCATCTTCTGTCACTTCTTTCTCTTGGGCCACTTCTCCACTTCCTCTCTTGTCCACTGACTGTATAGACGTTTGCTGTCCCGTCCCCGACTCTCTCCTCTCCTGACCACCAGTTATGGGACCATCCTCCTTCCTTCCTGCACTTTCCAAGCCTTTGACGTGATCTGAATGTTCCCCAACACCTAGTTTTCTTTTCTTGGAAGATGAAACTTGCTCTTCTTCGTCTTCTTCCACATCCTCATCCCTTACATTTCCAGACCTCTGAATTTTTACGAGTGATCTCTCTCTTTTCTTCTTCCCAGCAGTTTTTGCACTTGGGTCTTTACGCACACTTCCAGATAATACTGGCTCTTGTTGGTAAACTCTTGTCACAGAGAACACAGATCTATTTGCAGTTGTTACTGCTGTATCAGTTCTATTGGGAGTAGTTAGATTTGAGTGGTTCTTTTCACTATCTTGTGCAGTGTCAGTTCTCTTAGATGTTGTGTTTTCAGAGGATCTTCTTTCCTCTGGGGTGAGAGGTTCATCAGGCAGGGTTGGTTCACTCACATGACTGCCTGTGTCTGACTCTTCAGGAAAAAAAATTAATACAATATTAAAACCATTCTGTAAAGCAACAATGGTACAATGTAGCTTAGTCAAAATAATCCATGTATAACTTTTTAATTTTTAGATGTACTTTGACTGGACAACATACTAGTCAATACACATTTTTAATTGAGTAAAATCTTAACAGGGAACAATCAACTGAATCAACCCGTTTTCATAAGTTTCTTACCATCTTCACTTGCTTCTTTTTCAACCTGATCTAAGTCTTCACCACCATGTTCCTCCAGTGACGCATCCCGGGGAGGCTCCTCTGTGACCTCCGCTGTCCTTGACCTAGTGACCTCCAGTGGCACATTCTGGGGAGGCTCTTCTATGACCCCTTCTGTCCTTGACCTAGTGACCTCCAGTGACACATTCTGGGGAGGCTCCTCTGTGACATCCGCTGTCCTTGACCTTGTGACCTGGTGTGAGTTAGATGACCTTGAGGGTCTCCTGGAGACTTCCTCAGACTCTGCTCTTGCCATTTCCTGTGAGTCATCCTGCTCATCTTCTGATGAACTGGAAATTACAGGTCTCTTGTCAGTCTTGTCTCTTGCTGATACTTTGCGGTGTCTTTGTACCACTTTTGCAGAGTCTGTCAAGGGTGGTGACAGATTTTCTGATGACTGTGTTGATGGAGTCCCCCGAGGAGTTTCCATCAATGACTCACCTCTCCCACTACTTAATGACTGTCGTAAGTCAGGTTGATGTCTGTCAGTCTCTTTTTCCCTATTTTCTTCCTCGTCATTATGTTCTGAATCATCTTCTGACTCAGATGCACTGGCATTTTTGCTTGTCTTTTTCACAGAGTGGCTAGTCTGTCTCTTTTCTTCCTTTTGTAATTCTTTTCTGGAAGTGTTTGTCTTTGAAGAACTTTGCCTTCTGCTTTGCACTGTATCAGTTTCCATAGGGCCGGTCTCTGGTGCTCCCCTAGTATCTGGGTCACTTTGCTCGTCATTACTTTGACTGGCCCTAGACCTTGTTGAAATTCTACGAGAGGTAGCCCTTGATTCTTTCTGGGCAGAGGCCTAATATATAAATGTATAGAAAAAAACATTTGTGGAAATGATGCACTATAAGGTCAAAAATAAATACAAATCATTCTTTTTCCTTTAAATAGTTTTTTAATGAAAATACAAAGTTACCATATACAAAACAGCAGTAATTTGATAAAATGTTAATTCCATTATTTCTGATGTGAGTAACACAAGCATTAAAATATGAAAATAAATTGGCCTCAAATACTTTTTTCCACCAGACACACTCATTTTCACCCTGAATCAATCCTTATTTCATGGTGCCAGTACTCACCCTATTTTTCCTGTTGTCTCCAGTATTTCCTTGGCTCTTTTTCCCAGTATTAGATCCAGTTGGTCGTCTTCCTCTTGTCCTTACATCTGGTGAGGACTCAGAGCCTCCTGTCTGCTGTCCCCTGGTGCCTTACGAAGATAAATAAATAAATAAATAACATACTAGTATGCTCCTGTCGTCCCTCTGTTCCTTACACAAATATAGATAAGTAATAAGTAAATACATTAAATATGCTTCTTTTGACCCTCTGTGCCTTACAAACATAAATTAATAAAGTAATATATGCTTCTTTTCTCCCTTTCTGCCTTAAAAATACAGTTAAACAAAAAAATTAATAACATATGCACTAGAATTGACCACTGGTGAGTTCTTAACCTACACCATGTTAACATAACTTATGCTTTCACTCAACCTGTCGAGATATTTTTTTCTTCAATATATTACACTTCACTTCCAGTTAAAACATACTCTCTGATACTAAAATCATGCTGAAAAATAATTCACAATTCTGTCACCAGACAAATGGACTGATTAATTCTCATGAAAATACAATTTCTATAAAACAGACATGAGCCTAGGTTTAAAAAAAAACCCTCTGAACATTTATCATGGGACCCAACACCTAACCTTGACAAATCTAAGGAACCATCAGAACTGAATTAAAAAACGTGGAATTCTGCTTTTCCGCATGTCTCATTTAAACTAAATTGTTGAAAACTGTGTCACCAAACATCAACTGATTCATTCTTGTTTAAATATGTAATTTCTATACATATTTAACCTCAGTGAAGAAAGCCTGTTCTGGCGTAGCTTTAACACTCACCAATTTAGCCAAATCCTAAACAAAAACAAAAAAATGGTTGATTTGACTTGTTGAAAAAGTAGTGATTTAGCTAAGAGAAAAAAATTGCTAGCACTACCCCAGCTGCTGTGCCTACCTCTCCTGCTGGCAGTAGTATGTGTGGCTGTTCTAGTGGGCACTGCTATACCTACCTCTCCTGCTGGCAGTAGTATGTGTGGCTGTTCTAGTGGGCACTGCTATACCTACCTCTCCTGCTGGCAGTAGTATGTGTGGCTGTTCTAATGTAGTGGGCACTGCTATACCTACCTCTCCTGCTGGTAGTAGTATGTGTGGCTGTTCTAGTGGGCACTGCTATAGAAAGTCTGGTACTCTCTGCTCTAGGTACCATGTGGGACACATCTGACATCGCACTCTGATTTCATGGCACATTTAAGGAGGGAAAATATTTGATGATATTTATACTGGGTCCAATAGTATTAAATTTAACAAATACTAACGTTCTGTAATTGGAATACTGATATTTGCTGAACTAAATCATTGCCATTTTTTATAAGCACGTGCATTTTTAATCTACATTTTCGTACAGTAATACTAGCTTCTGACTGTTAATTTACATGTATGGTACTGTATGAACAATTTCATTATGTACAACAGTAGCATCGAGAACACCTTAAAGCATATATTACCTCCAGTCTGCTCCTGTTGGTGGTGACATTACTGAGTCTGCTGCTGAGTCTGTTCCTGAGCCGTTCTGCCAAGGTCAGATTGAGGGACTCCTCCAACACGGGGCTCTCGCTGTAAGGCACCGCAAACTTTTTGGCTGGCGGCAGCGGGGCGCTGGACTCGTTCTCCTGGCTACCTGAGCTCTCAGCTAATACATAATACAATGATTATCAATACTTGGGTTAACTCAGCGTGATCTTATTTAACACTGACAAATATACACGTCTACAGTCTATTGTATAAAATACCCCGAATTGCCAAACTCAGAAACTGTCTGAGCCTGAGATATAAGTCACATCACCGTTAGCAACATGCAAGCCAATAGCACACGATACAAGCCCAAACACTACCTATGCTCTAAAGGTCAACACTTTCTTGCAATTTTAATGACAGACTGCTACTATATATTTCTTACACTTCTTTGCTGGCGTTTGTTTCTTTCGTGTTTTCATTTTTGACAAAGTTGGTTCTTTCCCGCTTTTCTGGTGGTAAACTCAAACACGCGAGTAAACTCCCGAGAGGAATGCCTCTGCCGCGCGCACTTGTCAAGATGAACCCAAAACGAGGTCGTGTTCTCCAAGGCAGCCATATTTGTGTCAAAGAAAAGTCGGGCTTATGATTTAATCGGTGCTGGGGCTTTAACTGCTATTGCCAGAAACCTAGAGTCTTTTGAGTTTTGAAGTTATTGCTGATAGGTAAGTGTTGCACCCTTTGTAATGATTTTCTAGTCAGGGATACTACTTCAATTATATTGTTAAATTTATGGGTGGGGCAAATGCATGGAATGCGAAGTTATGTTTTCTTAGAGACGTCATAATTATTCTGTTGAATTTTCTTTTGTATAATATGTGGAAAATACTCTCTGTTGCATATGTTGTTGTGGTTAAAAAAACAAGACGATAACCTATCGTGGATGTATTCAAGAAGTTTCTTTGAGCATAACATTTGTTTACACAGAGAAAGAGAGGTAATAACTATGCAAATATCATTCATTGTGGAGCCCGGTTGCCAGTGACATCCATCAGTTGAACACTATGACTTGTAAATGGTGACAGTTGATACAGTGCGTACTGAGTTGAGAAGAAATACAGATGTCATCACTGTATAATTGGCTTCTTACAGTCACAAGCATCTATGCATTGCAAACATTGACACATCACAGGGGTGACTTGATGTGTTGTTGCTGCATGTTTCCCGTGTTTTAGTTATAAAGCATGCAAAATAGGATATGAGGATATCATTGAACTGACCTTGTTAATCTTTGAATAAAGAAACGTTCTCAAAGAGCACCAAATTGACGTGGGTTTTTTAATTTTCCACGCACAATACGTCTTTTGACTGACATACACATTATGTGTTCATGACCAGTGTGTATTTACTTACAACTTAGAAAACCAAACACTTTGAAAGGGAATCGGGGGGGGGGGGGGGGCACTGTGTTTTCATTATTTAAAAAAAAGCTTTATATAGTTTATGCAGCAGAAACAATTGACAGTTAAAATGTAATTACTGTATATTGATGTATTGTTTTCTGAATTATAATAGTTACATATTAGTTACAGTGAACATGTAAGGAATTTATGCTAACTACTGTACTAGGAGTACATTTCATAGGGAAGAACTTTTTCCAACATCAAAGCCTATTTGCTAAGTAGTAACTACAATATTAAATTTTGTTTATAAATGAATTGGTATCCTTGCAGAATATGCTTTGGTAAATTCATGAACAAAATTCCTAAAGCCACATTTGTCAAATTCACATGACGTGATGTACAGGATAATATTTACTAGTATTAAGAGTATAAATCACAATGTTGCAAAGGCATACTGAATTTTCCATCATCAGGATATGAGAATAGTGAACATGTGGAATGCACATAAAGAAATAAAAAAGGAAAAGAAGGAAGTCATGTTTCATAGCTGTTACAAATTGCAAAATTGTTTAGAAATAAACAAATGAACAGTTTGATAAGGAATCGGTTGTGATTGCTCATTAATTTTCAGTATGTATTGTCAATCATATTCTCTCTGTTGCCTGTTATATTTTTTTGTTCATATGGCCTACATTTGCTGCTAATTGATTTACATGTAGGCTTAGAGCAGTGCAAGTATTGATATTTTCATCAGATTACAAATGAAGTTATGCAGACACTCCAAGCATTAACAAAGCTGATTTGACAGGACCAGGTGCAGAAATAAATAATCTACCATATTGTATTGGTACTTGATCTCCACATGTAATAGAGCACAATTTCACACGTTTCAAAATGTGAATGACTCTAAATTATCAGCTCGCTATTGTAACAGACTAAAACATTCATGTTCAAGCTTCTAAGGAAGCACTTGGTTTGAATGCATTTGTGACAAATGACTTTTTCACAGCACACAATTTTCAGTACCAACATGAAGAGCATAGAATTCCAACAGAACTGTGCAATTCAGAACAAATTTATTACCAGGAACACAGGAATGAAAAGCAAAAGAAGCCCAACTTTTGACCCCCGATATTGTGGCAGTGATACACATGCATAGTTGAGCAAAGGACAATCAGCATATAGTGTCAGCTCTGTTGTAGCTCAACCTGTAAGAAAAATCAATGCCAGCTAGCTATTTATCCTTTTGCCAGTGCAGTTTCTTTACAGAGATGAATTGCCATTAACTACTCTGTCTTAATGCATCCATTTGTATTTTCAGTTTGTTAGTTGAGTGGCCAGATAAGAGAAGAAACTGAGCAAGGCGACCTTTCCAGTTGTTTTTGCAGTCAATCTGGTAAGTCAGTGGAGAGCCCTCTGTTTTGAGACCTGGACACGTGCCGTGCACGCCGCCTATATAACCAGAGGTCCCAGCAGGGTTTAAACTTTCATGACTCTCAATCAGAAAATATTAGTTTAGACCCGATTTATTCTCTGCCATTCATGCCCTTTCACAAGTGGAATCACTGGAGACCTTTTCTCCATTCCCAAGGCAGTATCAGGCAAGCCACAGGGAGCAAATTCAATCAATCCATTACTTATATAAATAATTACTAGTGATCCATAGCTTGGGCACTTTTCCCAGCATGGAACAGCATTCCCATCACTTATTCAAAGGATCTAGATTGTGGTAAGATTTTCATGGCGTGGGTGGTTTGTGTACTGAGATGGGTTGACTTGCTACTTTCAGTATTATTTCTTTTACATCAGGAGATGAATTTTCATGTGCTTTTCCCCACTGCTCTCCGATCAATATGGCTCTGATTTAGACACACCACTGCAGGGGCGTTAAGTGACACAAGATGAATAAATCCAATATACTTATCTTAAACTTTTTAGCACCAAGTTCCCCCCTAGTAATTTTAGGTTTGTGTAAGGTTATGCCAACAGGAATATATTGATGTTTTACATTTTTTTTTAAATAAAATCTTGCTCAAGTCAGGGCAAGTTAGTGATTGTACTAATAGAATCAAACAAAGCCTGACCTTTGCTTTTGGCACTAAACCTTGGCTATGATGCAGAACAGATCTTTTGGGGTTTTTTTCTTGTGAATTATTGGTACTATTATCATCCTTTGGGTCAACTAGCAACATCAGCAGAGACATGCTCAGACCAGACTGGCTCCAGACTAGTCCTAGTATTTCATTTGTCTGACTACTAGTAGGTGACTGAATATATATATATATATATATATATATATATATATATATATATATATCTGATAGCCTCCACAACAGATAGTGTCCAATATATAGCCTCAGAGAGGTTGGTCTAGTATGTGGCCACATATTAGTACAAAACTCCCCATAGAACAGATTTTGAGTACACTCACATTACTTTACCCAAAAGGCCCAATGTCGGCATCATCTTATGTATTCACTCAAAACACCACATGTATATATTTCCATCTCATTTCATGTGAATTTGGTTTCAACCTAGCACACTCCAGCTTGCCTTAACCTGCACAGGATGTTGATGTCAACATACTCTGATGAACTCAAAATGTGTGTGAAACAGCATATTTCAGTGACATATATTTTAATTAGCATATATCATATGTATCATTTTTTAAAATCAGTTGATTTTGGTATGGTATGGTATAAAAACGTATTTGTGTAGAACAAATCTGTCTATACATTGCAGTATTATCAAGGTTCTACCAAAAAAAAAAAGTTATTGTGATGTCTTTTCTTTAGAGAATTTTCTAATCTTTCAGTGCACAATAAAAAAGTAGCCAGTTCAGATATAGATACTTTACAAGTGAGGAAGGAGCTTTAATGTTGTTAGGTATTAACCATTTGGGATATGGTAAAAGGACTGATCCCCTTGTGTAGTACTCCTTCACTGCTGTAATCAGACTAGTTTTCAGCATAAATCAGAAATCCATTTTTTTCCTTGGTGGCTTTCCACTAAAAGCAAGTCCCATAGCCCCCTGTTGTAAGACCACCACCATTTCTTTCTACTTCAAAGTTTTATTTTTTCTTACAAATTCAGAACTGATGTACTTGAATATTAGGCCTCTTAAAATAATAAGGATAATAGTAAATAATAATAATAATAATACTTTGAGCATATAATGAGTTATGTTTATAGGCTCTCTAAACTTCTGTCTGTATACCATTTGGAATAATAAAAAGACAGCCACAGCATCTGTTCTGGTGCATACATCAAGGGCTGCAAACACAGCATCTGTTCTGGTGTATACATCAAGGGCTGCAAACACAGCATTATCATGATCTGATGTGGAAGACCCAATTCCCATAGATTTTAGATCAATCTATCCCTGTGGGGAGTCTCACTAGATTACTGTCAGCTTAGCCGGCTTAAGCATCTGTCCCGCCTACTAAAAGCTGTAAGGGGGTAATTAACTGTGGTGCTTGCTTGGCTGACTGCAATTTAGCGTGAACCCCCAGGGAGTTAGGTCGATCTAAATCTAAATCTCTGGATCGATCTAAATCTCTGGGAATGCACCCTTAGTTCAGAGTAATAATGGAGACTGATGCCAGCCAATCCTGGAAACCAGTTTTCTCTGTAATCATTGTGGCCATCAATGTGGCCTCTTAAGTCATTTATTACATGGGATTCCAAATGTCACTGATCACTGTGAAGATCAAGAGAACTGGGTACGGTAATGACGCAATCTTTTCGATGGGTGAAAATGATCAAACTTTGAGATACAACATTTTAAAACCATAAAAATTATATTTTTATATAGCATATGTGGTGCTTTTAATGCATAGAATAGGACTATAAGGTAGTCTGCTTTTCAATTTTGTTGCCACCACTCAATAGGATTGCTCGTATTTTAAGAAATTATTACTTTAAAATACAGTATCTGTAAAATTCACAATTTTCCACCATTGAAAAAATGGAGTAATTACCATACACTGCTGCAGTGGTTGACAGACTGTCAGGGAAAAGTTACCATGGTTCCAATATAACACTGATTGCTCAAGGCCAGGGTAAGAATAAGTGAAAGTGGTTCAAAATGAACTGAAAAGATGTAGTGAGTATGAAATGGAATAAAGCTAGATATGGATATATACCTTTGAATTTTGGCATTCTCTCTGTCAAGCAATTGCAGCAGCAGTGATTGGATTTCTGTAAAAAAAAAAAAATTAAAAACTGGTAAAATAGAAATGTGTTCATGATTTGAACAGGGGCCATAAATAGCACTCCCACTCCTCCATATCCATAAAACACGGATATAAAAAGTATAATGGCTTCCTGTAATTCTTAGCTAGGTAGCTACATACATATGGTCTATTGATTTATTAAACCAGAAACTATCGTGGAAAATCCTGAAAGAACACTTAATCTGATTATTTCAGGAGACAGTTGAAAGGGACATTAAGTAGGATATATCATCTTTTTTTCAAACAAGGTTTAACCTGGTAATGTCATTTGAGCAGAGCCAGCCTATTGCCCTAATCGCCAGTACAGGAAGTGAGCTCCAATGGGAGGGAGAGAGATGCGTTTTTAACATTATACGTCAGAATATCTTGTGGGGTTGCTTGGGAGCACTACTTCCAAGTAGTTCCTAAAAAGATGTCATGTGTATTTTGGGATTTAACAGATGTGGGCTCAGAAAAATAATAAGTGTACAAAGAGGTACATTATTGTTACAAGGATTCATAATTGTACTTTGAGATATTTGTCAGAAACAAAAAGGATTTATTTTTATGTACACTCTGCACAAGAAATATTTGTCAGAGTTAAGAGTTGCAGCAAGAGAACCATTCTTGCTTAACATTTTATTGACCTTTGGCTTTTAGCAGAAGCCCTGTCCTGGAATTTTCAGCTGAATTTATTTGATACTTAATGTGTGTGTGTGTGTGTGTGTGTGTGTGTGTGTGTGTGTGCATGCATGCGTGCATTAATGCTTGTTCTAGATTTAATTGTATCAATTTCATTAGTGGTCTTATTATGTGAATTTGACCAGTCTAATAAGCCAATCCTATCTTGTTTAAAACTTTTTTGGTTGTGCAGATTGATTTTGTAGTCGTAAATTGCCTTAGGGCAAAAATGCGATGAAGCTAAATAGGAATAGTGATTTTGCTTATTATAGAATTTTTAAAGCCACTTAACGTTCTAACTAAAGCGACAGTGATGAATTCCCCTTTTCTCTTTTGTCATATTTTGCTTGAAATGATCACTATTAATGCTCTCTTGGGCACCCTCACTTCTCAGCTTCATCTCACAATACACATATCCCTGCTCGTTAACTCACAAATGTAGTCATTAGTCTTTATCCGGAGATTTATAGGACTTCTTATGTTGCAGTGCACCAGCTTTGCTGCCAGCACTCTGAGCTTGGCAACTGATACAGCCACCAAGGAAGACAAGAACAGATTACCAGTTGGTGAGTAGTTGCAATTGAAGGCTGGGAGAAGAATTCGGGCTTATTTCCCAATGACACTAACTTTATACCTAGATCGATCCAACTCCATGGGGACTCTTGCTGAATGCAATCATATTGAACAAATTAATATGCCTCTTCTTGATTCCAACATACTTGTATAATCACCAGTTTTTCTGCAGTGTACACAACACCAGGAGGAGGTGTGTTAGTCTGTTAATATGACTGCATTCAGCTAGAGTTCTCAACACCAGGAGGAAGTGTGTTAGTCTGTTAATATAACTGTATTCAGCCAGAGTTCTCAACACCAGGGGGAGGTGTGTTAGTCTGGTAATATAACTGTATTCAGCCAGAGTTCTCAACACCAGGGGGAGGTGTGTTAGTCTGTTAATATAACTGCATTCCGCCAGAGTTCTCAACACCAGGAGGAGGTGTGTTAGTCTGGTAATATAACTGCATTCCGCCAGAGAGCCCGCAGAGTTGGTAAGATCTACGTAGAACAATACTTCATTGGGAGTGAGCCCTTTGACACACAGGTTCCACAAAACCCCTACCACCAGATACCTTGGCCTTCCTGCATGCGCAGCTGCATTGGCTTCATTGCATTCAAGCCTATCCAACTACCAGACTCAGCACCGAATGATCCTAAATTCACTGATAGGTCGGATCATGCTTCCCTTTTTCAAGGTGTGTATCAGTACACATTTCACTGTATCACACCCTGGGACAAATTTTGTAGAAGTAGCGCATGAATCCTGATAAGATGCACTACTTTCCAAACCCGCTCAGAATCATCACTATCACATTGCACAACAGGCAAGAGGGTGCTGCGTCTGATACTTCGAAGCACGTACTGATATACACCTTGAAAACGGGTAGCGTGATCTGATCTACCGATGAATTTTTTATTTTTCGTTGCCGAGTCTGGTAGTTGGGTAGGCCAGGCATTGGAAATGTACTGCATAGAAAAGATATGTTTGTGTCCAAAATTTTGACAGTTGTGGATTTTGATTCTAAGCTTCACATGTTGCAATTCATTACACTCTATCCATTGGATGTTGTTGTTGTATTCCTTAGTTACTTAACACTTTTTTTTACTCAGAATTGAAAATCGTCTGTGCCAGCAACAAAACCATGCATGAATTCGTGTGATATTCAGTATGCTTTCTTTGTCGTGTTCTCACAACTTTATTGTAATGTGTAAAATTGATATTGTAAGCTGCTTTAGTTTCTCTTGTAACTGTTGTCATTGGTAGTACTAATGTTAAGATGTCAGATGCTAAGTGGCAGAGTAGCTGTACGGTAATTACTCACTGAGTTTGAACAAAATTTATTAATAGTAGTTCCCAAAGCAATCCTCTGTTAACAAATCCATAGAAGCTGATTCATATGTAACATTGTTTTGAAAAATGAGTTGGAACATGTCAGAGGATATGTTTTTGTAAAAAATGAGAACTGCAGATCTTGAAAAATGAAATATGAACGAGAAACTTTGTTAAAATTTGTGAATGCTTACCGTACAAAGCTGGATGTCAGGAATTAGGAAAGGGGGGACTCCTTAATTTCCTTTCAGTTAAAAAAAGGATTCCTATTGTAGTAATGTGGGATTTTTGAGAAGTTGGGCAGATAAAAACATTTTTGGTTGAACAAATAATTATTTTCAGTTTGTCAACTTTGTCAACTCAGAAGAAATTTTTTCCTATAAAAACTCCCACTTCCTGACTCCAGTATTCACTGTGATCTCTAGTGCACACGTCACTGCATGAACTTTGTAGTCTGCATGTTGTTTTTTCTTCCTTTCGTGTAGGTTTCAAACATGTCCAGTGTCCAGCACCAGCGTAAGGTCGTAGAACAGCTACGTCGCGAGGCACAGTTACAGCGCAAGCCAGTGTCGGCAGGGACGCGCAATATCATTAATTATTGCAATCAAAACATGAGCAGTGATGCTCTCGTTGTTGGGTTTGCTTCCCCGAAAGAAAATCCATTCAAAGAAAAGAGCAGCTGTGTAATACTATAGGGATGAACAGAAACTGGCTTTCATGGGACTTTTTTTTCTTTTGCTGTGTCTGGGTTATGTCCTCTAGTCATACCCTCACCACCAGTATAACAACTTCTGAGCTAACCAAGTTTTATAAGACAATGATATAAATATATATATATAAATATATTGTCCCCATATGTTGGATGTATATGAATTTCTATGTATTAGCCTTGGGAGGTTTATATTTTGTATCTGACTGAAGTAAAGATAATCTGAAATGAAAAATGTGATACAAATCAGAAATACGGAGATTAATTAGATGCTTAATTTAATCTGTATATCCTCTGAAATCCTTGCCCTGAAAATGTTCTTTTTTCCTACCAAAGATAAATAAAGAGTTTCATTGATCTTTTCCCTTGCCTCTATTTATAATCTTGAGTCATTTACCTGAAAAATGCTAAGAATATTTTTCCAGTTTAATGGAACTTCCCTGCAATTGTTTCTGTCTATCATTATAGGTGGCAGCACCAGCCTGTCACAAAAAGCAGTCTTGGTAGCTTGTCTTGGTGAACATACCATAGCATGTATTAAAATCAACGTATCCAGTAATATTTGTCAGTCAAATTAACCAGCTTGAAAGTTTATTGATATTTACTCGTCTGATGTTTGTGTTGTGTAAAAAGCTCTGTCGTTCTCGTGTTTACAAGTGGAAAAGATAAGGTTTTGTACATCCCATGCTGACGAGTTTTATTTGTAGATCAAAATGGCTCTATGGCCACCAGTTTGTTGCCCACTGCCCATGGGAGACTATTCAACTCTTGGTATTTACTGTCTTTACTCAGGGGCAAGTTACTTTGAAACATAAAAAAGAAAAAACTTTGTAAGTGACCATGAAGGTACAGTCCAGTCAAAAAATTGTCAAAAAAATTGCAAGTTTTTTCCACTTGTCATCTTGAACTGAGCTCAAATCTTTGTCTGCATCTTGTGTAATATTGTATTGTGGTTTCCAGTGTTCTGTGTATATATCTACTACAGTATGCTTCTGTACTGAAATAAACTCTTCTTGGGTGTTTAAAACTTTACTGATATTCCTGTTGTAAAGTGCAGTGTAGTCAATGTGAGTATCGTAAGTTTCGTAACTGAATTTTTTTATTCAGGTTCATATTAATTTGGCCATATTATATACTTGGGATTACAGCGGAAGCTGTGGAAAGGGGATTTTGCTACCGTCTAGAAACGGGAAATTTAAGATATTTGGGTATAATTGAGTTAATTTAAAAAATCAATAATGTGTGCTCGCCGCCCGGTCTTACTGAATGTCGTGCACTTATTCCACTCGTTAAATGTGACCACAGCTGATCACCCACTCATCCCTCTCTCCCACCATTTCCATCCCTCTCTCCCACCATTTCACCAAAACACGTTTCAGGGCAGACGAGGTCGTTATTGCGTTTGCTCACCAACCGCATCTCCCGATATTCAACCGAATGAGGTTCCTTGTTTTTGCGTAACTAAACGATGAAGACCTTTCAGCGAGGGGCCCTGGGCGTTTACCAGAGCCCCATCCCACGTGGATCAGACATGTCCTAGTAAATATTTGGTTAAAGATATAAGCTATAAATAAGTGATATAGAAGACGTCAAATAAAAAAATAATTCCTATAGTACAATTGTTATAAATTTTAAGAATAGTTTAGCAGTGCCTCAGCCCAATAGCGGCACGTGAGACGTGGGTCTCATTCTGATTATAAGCCCCAGTAAAGGCCCTATTTCACACAGACCACGAATCCCACGAATCGCCAGGAATTGACAAATTTTAGGATTCGTGAGGATTCGTGAGATTTTGCCAATTTTCTGGTCTAATTCGACACGCTCTACGATTCAGTTACGATACAGGTGCGATAGTGTTACGAATATTCGTGGGATTCGGCTGGAATCGCACGAATATTGTCCAGAAATTCACTACGATATTTTGGAATCGGGAGTTCGTGGCCAAAACTATGAACAACTCAAAATTTTTGCCACGAATTCCCGATTGACCAAGAATTGCAAGAACTTACTACGATTATATACGAATCTGTTAAGAACTTCACGAACTGATTACGATTCAACCAAATTTTCAATTCCTGGCGATTCGTGGGATTCGTGGTCTGTGTGAAATAGGGGCATCAAAGTTTTTGCCACCCATTCCTGTTGGTCAAGAAGTGCAAGAACTGACTACGAATAGATATTATCTGTTAAGAACTTCACGAACTGATTACGATTCAACCACGAATGGTGAAATTTGTCAATTCATGGCCATTCGTGGGATTCGTGGTCTGTGTGAAATAGGGCCTTTAAGGTAGTACATATTTCTACTCTCTACCACCAGTCATATCGCGGCAACCCTCTGGAAGCGGCAAGGTGAGTTTTGTCTCGGGTGATGGTACATTGTATGTGCGAGTCCCAGCACGTCCTTCTCCTGCACTGTTTTATCCATTGCCACTAGGGAAGAAACTACGTAATTACAACTGTTTATGAATTTGCATTTTTCTCGTGGCCAAAATATTGGATTGATTGCTTACACTACCGCTCTGTTGACTTTGCGTGTGGACCGGTGTTAGGTCTGTCATATTGCCGCCTTTTCCCGCCGACACNTAACTGCATTCCGCCAGAGAGCCCGCGGAGTTGGTAAGATCTACCTAGAACAATACTTCATTGGGAGTGAGCCATTTGACACACGTTAAGTTCCACAAAACCCCTACCACCCAGATACCTTGGCCTTCCTGCATGCGCAGCTGCATTGGCTTCATTGCATTCAAGCCTATCCAACTACCAGACTCAGCACCGAATGATCCTAAATTCACTGATAGGTCGGATCATGCTTCCCATTTTCAAGGTGTGTATCAGTATATGTTGCGGATCCCACATCAAAACAAACAAACGACGGGAAATGTTCACACTTTATTTCACGCACACTGACATGGATATGGTGAAACTAAAAATAACAAAATAATGAAAGTCAAATACCAAACTAATTATACAAAATACACAAATATAACATAAATTGAATACAAATATAAAAAGAAATAATAAATTAATTATAAAAAAAAAAGAAAACGGAAATGTTGTGCAAATGATTAACAATAGAATTGAATACAATACGTACAGAGAAATGTGGCTTTCCCGTCCAAATGTTGATCCACAAATTTTGCCTACTAAAACTTCAGACTCGGCGACCTGAGCCTTCGCTCGTCAAATACAACGTGGCCGCGCCCAGAACTGCTGCATACAGTATATATACAGAGTAAATGATTTGCATAATAATACAAAGCTGACTAGTGATACGATTGTAAACGCAAATTGTTGTCATAAGCGACAACAGTATACATTTCACTGTATCATACCCCGGGATAAATTTTGTAGAAGTAGCGCATGAATCCTGATAAGATGCACTACTTTCCAAACCAGCTCAGAATCATCGCTATCACATTGCACAACAGGCAAGAGGGTGCTGCTTCTGATACTTCGAAGCACGTACTGATATACACCTTGAAAATGGGTAGCGTGATCTGATCTACCGATGAATTTTTTATTTTTCGTTGCCGAGTCTGGTAGTAGGGTAGGCCTGGCATTGGAAATGTACTGCATAGAAAAGACATGTTTGTGTCCAAAATTTTGACAGTTGTGGATTTTGATTCTAAGCTTCACGTGTTGCAATTCATTACACTCTATCCATTGGATGTTGTTTTTGTATTCCTTAGTTACTTAACACTTTTTTTTACTTAGAAGTGAAAATCGCCTGTGCCAGCAACAAAACCATGCATGAATTCGTGTGATATTCAGTATGCTTTCTTTGTCGTGTTCTCACAACTTTATTGTAATGTGTAAAATTGATATTGTAAGCTGCTTTAGTTTCTCTTGTAACTGTTGTCATTAGTAGTACTAATGTTAAGATGTCAGATGCTAAGTGGCAGAGTAGCTGTACGGTAATTACTCACTGAGTTTGAACAAAATTTATTAATAGTAGTTCCCAAAGCAATCCTCTGTTAACAAATCCATAGAAGCTGATTCATATGTAACATTGTTTTGAAAAATGAGTTGGAACATGTCAGAGGATATGTTTTTGTAAAAAATGAGAACTGCAGATCTTGAAAAATGAAATATGAACGAGAAACTTTGTTAAAATTTGTGAATGCTTACCGTACAAAGCTGGATGTCAGGAATTAGGAAAGGGGGGACTCATTAATTTCCTTTCAGTTAAAAAAAGGATTCCTATTGTAGTAATGTGGGATTTTTGAGAAGTTGGGCAGATAAAAACATTTTTGGTTGAACAAATAATTATTTTCAGTTTGTCAAATTTGTCAACTCAGAAGAAATTTTTTCCTATGAAAACTCCCACTTCCTGACTCCAGTATTCACTGTGTTCTCTAGTGCACACGTCACTGCATGAACTTTGTAGTCTGCATGTTGTTTTTTCTTCCTTTTGTGTAGGTTTCAAACATGTCCAGTGTCCAGCACCAGCGTAAGGTCGTAGAACAGCTACGTCGCGAGGCACAGTTACAGCGCAAGCCAGTGTCGGCAGGGACGCGCAATATCATTAATTATTGCAATCAAAACATGAGCAGTGATGCTCTCGTTGTTGGGTTTGCTTCCCCGAAAGAAAATCCATTCAAAGAAAAGAGCAGCTGTGTAATACTATAGGGATGAACAGAAACTGGCTTTCATGGGACTTTTTTTTTTCTTTTGCTCTGTCTGGGTTATGTCCTCTAGTCATACCCTCACCACCAGTATAACAACTTCTGAGCTAACCAAGTTTTATAAGACAATGATATAAATATATATATATAAATATATTGTCCCCATATGTTGGATGTATATGAATTTCTATGTATTAGCCTTGGGAGGTTTATATTTTGTATCTGACTGAAGTAAAGATAATCTGAAATGAAAAATGTGATACAAATCAGAAATACGGAGATTAATTAGATGCTTAATTTAATCTGTATATCCTCTGAAATCCTTGCCCTGAAAATGTTCTTTTTTCCTACCAAAGATAAATAAAGAGTTTCATTGATCTTTTCCCTTGCCTTTATTTATAATCTTGAATCATTTACCTGAAAAATGCTAAGAATATTTTTCCAGTTTAATGGAACTTCCCTGCAATTGTTTCTGTCTATCATTATAGGTGGCAGCACCAGCCTGTCACAAAAAGCAGTCTTGGTAGCTTGTCTTGGTGAACATACCATAGCATGTATTAAAATCAACGTATCCAGTAATATTTGTCAGTCAAATTAACCAGCTTGAAAGTTTATTGATATTTACTCGTCTGATGTTTGTGTTGTGTAAAAAGCTCTGTCGTTCTCGTGTTTACAAGTGGAAAAGATAAGGTTTTGTACATCCCGTGCTGACGAGTTTTATTTGTAGATCAAAATGGCTCTATGGCCACCAGTTTGTTGCCCACTGCCCATGGGTGACTATTCAACTCTTGGTATTTACTGTCTTTACTCAGGGGCAAGTTACTTTGAAACATAAAAAAGAAAAAACTTTGTAAGTGACCATGAAGGTACAGTCCAGTCTAAAAATTGTAAAAAAAATTGCAAGTTTTTTCCACTTGTCATCTTGAACTGAGCTCAAATCTTTGTCTGCATCTTGTGTAATATTGTATTGTGGTTTCCAGTGTTCTGTGTATATATCTACTACAGTATGCTTCTGTACTGAAATAAACTCTTCTTGGGTGTTTAAAACTTTACTGATATTCCTGTTGTAAAGTGCAGTGTAGTCAATGTGAGTATCGTAAGTTTCGTAACTGAATTTTTTTATTCAGGTTCATATTAATTTGGCCATATTATATACTTGGGATTACAGCGGAAGCTGTGGAAAGGGGATTTTGCTACCGTCTAGAAACGGGAAATTTAAGATATTTTGGTATAATTGAGTTAATTTAGAAAAATCAATAGTGTGTGCTCGCCGCCCGGTCTTACTGAATGTCGTGCACTTATTCCACTCGTTAAATGTGACCACAGCTGATCACCCACTTATCCCTCTCTCCCACCATTTCCATCCCTCTCTCCCACCATTTCACCAAAACACGTTTCAGGGCA